CGAGCGCTTCAAGGTTCTGCGCCTCCGCAAGCAGGTATGTGGAAATATTGAAAGGGGGATTTGTTCTGGCACAATGCGCTGGGCCCACCCGATCGAATAATCTGGGGAATCACGAACACTTCAACTAACATCATAACTCCAGGCTCGCTACGAGGTCCAGAAGTCCCACGCCAAGGCTCGCGCTGCCAACAAGTCATAGATGATTACGAGGTTTCGGTGCATGGGTTTGAAGGAGGTGTCCTGGAAGGGTTTCCATTGCTGGTAATACTCTGGCAAAATCGCTGTATGCATATCAATGAACAGCAAAAATGATTCAAAATCCTTGATATCCCGGCAAAGGGGCCTTTTGTCATTTGGTTTTCCTCCGGCTCTGGACTCATTTTTATATCCCCCAATTTTACGGGAATATTGAATTATCTGGCTCTACAAAAAGAATAGAACGAGCAGATACGTAAATAATGACCTGGAAACTGTATTAACTGTATTATTTATATACATTTAATTTGATCTAGATGAGATCTATAAATTATTAGCCAATCTAGTTAAGAATTGGTGATGTAGTTCCATATAGGGCAATGTGTGCCAGGTGGGCAGTCTGGGGGTGGGCGCTCGCTAATGATTTTCGGGTTCGGTCTGGCGCACAGCTACACACCTTCAACTTCAACAAAATCCATCCCCACTCACAACAGCTTGATATTTACCTCTCAGGTATGTATGAGTATTTATTCGACTGAATTCTCGCCTTTTCAACGTCAAATTCCGCCCTTTCCCGAGTGCTGTGCGATTCGTGGGGGGTTGACCAATCCTCTCGAATCTCTCTCCCACTATGCCCGCCCTCACACCATTCAACCAACCCTGACACCCATTGCCGAGCGAAACAACCCAACTAATCAACTCTTTTTTTCGGATTCTTCTTAGGCCCCTTTACACCGCAAAAATGGCTGATCCCCGCGTTGAAGAAATCCACGATGACGAGGTCTCCAAGACCGTCGAGGAGAGCTCCTCTGAGTCTGGCTCCGAGGCTGGCGATGAGCCCAACATTCCCGCCGGTGCCTCCGTCGCTATTCACTCCCGTGGTGAGAAGAAGGCCCGCAAGGCCATTGGCAAGCTCGGCCTGAAGCTCGTCCCTGGCATCACCCGTGTCACTCTCCGCCGCCCCAAGAACGTATGTGATTCCCGATGCGACCGGTCATGAGAAATTCTACCCCGCCAAGTACAATGTGATTGCGACCATCAACTGCAACACTAGCTACTAACCGGATGGAATATCATGATCATTCTCAATGTGGAGATGCTAATTATTGGAATTAAAGATCCTCTTCGTTGTCAACCAGCCCGAGGTTTACCGTTCCCCCAACAGCAACTGCTGGATGTATGTGGAACCCAATTAGAGTCAGTCATGTCTGGATGACATTTACTGATACACTTTTTTTTAGCATCTTCGGTGAGGCCAAGATTGAGGACCTGAACTCCCAGGCCCAGGCTTCCGCCGCCCAGCAGCTCGCTGCCTCCGAGGCCGCTGGCGACCACGCCGGTCACGACCACGAGGAGGTTCTCGGCAAGGCCAAGGCCCCCGAGACCGAGGATAAGAAGGAGGATGAGGAGGATGATGGTGAGGAGGTTGATGAGTCCGGCCTTGAGTCCAAGGATATCGAGCTGGTCATGGCACAAGCAAACGTTTCCCGCAAGAAGGCCGTCAAGGCTCTCCGGGAGAACGACAACGATATCGTTAACTCCATCATGGCTCTCAGCATATAATGAGTGACCGTATTTAAGGTTCTATGAGGGACTTGGGTTATGATGCCGGATGAAAGATATCCGGCATGTTGTCGCCCATAGTGTACACAATTTAGCCCAAAAAACAATTGAACCCATGATTGTGTCAACCAATCAATCCATATATCCCGTAATTATGGGGGAAAAATAAGACCTGCGCATAAGTTATTTACAACAATTAATATGATCAGTTTGTAATTTGTCTTGCTTGTATAATATAATACACGGTGGATTTCGGAATGCACATCACGTGACCCGAACAATCCAAACCTTCCGGGTCACTCCTCGTTCGGCACCTCCCTGCACATTGAACTCCCCTCTCTTCTCCCCACCCCCAACCTCTATCATACCCGTCACAATGGCTGCTGTATGTTCTACTCCTCCTCCTCGACTTGACAAACCCCTGTCAACCCGTTCGAATGACTCCCGCTAACTCCCTTCATCCGAAAACAGCGCAGCGCCGCTCTCAAGATCGACTGGGCCAAGGTGTCAACCTCCCTCGGCCTCCGCGGCCAGACCGCCGCCTCCCTCCAAGCTTTCAAGAAGCGCAACGACGAGGCTCGCCGCAAGGTCCAGGTCCTGTCCGAGCAGCCCCAGACCGTTGACTTCAGCCACTACCGCGGCATCCTGAAGAACACGGCCATCATCGATGAGCTCGAGAACCACTTCAAGACCTTCAAGCCCGCTACCTACGATGTCAACCGCCAGCTGAAGGCTATCGACGCCTTCGAGGCCCAGGCTGTTCAGAACGCCGAGGCTACCAAGGGTAAGGTTGAGGCCGAGCTGCAGAACCTGCAGAAGACCCTGGAGAACATCGAGACCGCCCGTCCCTTCGAGGACCTCACTGTCGTACGTATTATCTGCTGTGGACCATGCAATTGGAATCATTACTCACACGTCTGCTTTTTTTTAGGACGAGGTTGCCGCCGCCCAGCCCGAGATCGACGAGAAGACCGCTTCTCTCGTCTCCAAGGGCAAGTGGATGCCCCCTGGCTACAAGGTATGTGTTGACTGTCTTGCTGAAAGCAATGCTTCCGTTTTGATACTGATACCAATTTCTTTTTGTAGGAGCGCTTCGGCGATCTGTCCGCCGTCTAAGCGTGGACTCTTGTGGCCTCAAATCCGCCTTTTTATTCCTTCCTCCATTACACTTCGTGATCATGACTTTTGGAGCCAAGAAGATGGCTATTCAGCCAGTGTGTGGTCAGATACCTCCGATAGTGTGGTGGGGCAGTTGGGATGTGTATAGAAACAATACATTTGTCGTTTCTGCGTTCATTAGGAGATCCTACTGTAATTTTGTACTTTTTGCGACTACATATGTAGGTTATTATTCAAGTGATCGAGAAATGTGCCGTAATCTCCAAAAAAAATTTAAGGTCAACAAACATTTGATACGCCCGATATATATCCAACCAAGCTCCCTCCGAACATGTGGATCGAGTTGGGATATATAGCCAAGTATCAAGTGAATACCGTTTCTTTTTTGAACTTTGACAAAGATATACTAAGTGGCTATATATTCCAGTCGATTTAGGCACAACACACGATCACGCCACATACATAATTGTGCGTGATGAGGAGCTCCCAAGCTGGCCTTGCCAAGACACGCAACTCACCTCAGTTTACCCACTTCCCCTACCCCTCTCCCAGCAATGGGTCGGGCTTTTCCCTATCAATTATTTTCATTGGAGACTGCGCTGGAAGCGCTGTCAAGTGTCTTTTCTACAAGTCACGAGGAGCTACAGGGACAACATTATGCGAAGTCTGCAGTCGGTATTATATGGACTGTGTTTCCATTGAGATAAACCATATCCATCTCTGCTCTTCCTCCTCCCTGGCCCTTTACAACTATAACGCGCCGTGTGATTCATAACCGAACACCGTCTTGCTGCGAGCAAGCTATACAAGCTATATAAGAACATATCACCTTTAGACGCACTGTTGCAAATGGGCCCAGGCTCCTCTGACCCGTTGGCCGACCACCCAAGCTCGTGCCTGGAGTCATTGCCCGTGGAAATCCTGCAGTTGATATTTCTTCACAGCCTGGAAGTGAACCTCCCTCGTGCCTCACTACGTCTCAGCCAGGCACTGTCCTCTCCATTGCTCTATACCTGGCTCATTCGGCTTGCATTTAGCAGTCCCAATTCAGGCTCGCGGGAGGGTTTCTTTACCCCGGATTTCCTGCCCCCACCTTTGGACTTTTGGGCTTTGTCATGGAAAGAGCGCCAAAAATTACAGACCGACCTGCTGGCATGTCGGTGGTGTACATTTTCCTTGCTCCGGAAATGCCAGCGTGAATACGTTGCCCATGCCATCCGTCGCAAATGTGCCGATCTGGTCTTCCATCCAGACGACCAAGAAATGCTGTCCAATCTGGACCCACGCTTCGAAAACCTAGAAGCCTGCGATTGGGCCGTACTCGGGCGGCGTGGTAAAGGGGATCTGGTTATCCCCGCACAGCTTGGGGAAACATTGCGGACCCCGTCATCTCGCAATGTCGACCGCAAAGTGGCAATATGGTTCCATTTTGGCGCTGTCCAGATCCGTAAACCCCACGAGATATACCACGAGAACGACCTCTTCCGGCTGCCGTGCTCAGTGGCTATCGGACCAGGCCGCATTCCGGATAAGGTCTTGCGCTCGCCCTGGTCAGATGCACAGTTTGAGTTCTTACAGCTGCTTTCTTCGGACTTCTACCTGGACGAGGATGAGGCTAGGCCAGATCGATCCTCTGAGATCACATATCGTCTCATTCGAACGCGCAAGATCGAGCCTTTTAGTCGCTTGCTGCGTATATCGTTCCGTGCTGCAAATTGTCGTGTCCCTGCACGCTGGCCGCTCCAGCCTTCACATTATTCTCTCGTCCGGCGCTGTGGAAGCGGACCGGGAGATCCGTTTGTAAATGTTATCTTGAATGAGCGTTGGGATGATATGCCTACAGAAGCAAAGCAAGATTTGTTGCGATATGTTGAGTCCTCCTCGCCGAAAGACGGGCATTGATATATTTGCCATTTAAACAGGATTTAGACTCGCTGGTGTATATTCAATAATATACATACAATTTCATGTTCATACTTCAAACGATTACCATGTGAATAGTTATACGTTATTCTACATGTCTATCCTCTACGGGACAAAAGCAATATACTTCAATATCAAGTATTTCATAACCCAAAATCGATTCATGATTGACAATTAAAAACTGCACCACGGGGTATAAACAAGAAGGTAAAATGACAAAAGAAAATCCGCGCCGGCATAACAATCGTAGAACCCATAGCCAGCCCTTCTATCCTTATGGACTTATAGGTGTGTGTAGAGACATGATAGTTTGTTTCCTATCAGACTGCTGATCGACGACCTCGCCGGCGCTTTCCACAGTAGCCGCAGGTCAGGCAGGAGATGATAACATCGATCACTGTGACCACACCGCTGATGATGGCGTGGCAGATGGAGCCGATAGCGTTGACGATGGCCATAAGGCAGCTACCGATGGCGCGGAAGACGCTTTGGATCTAGAGGTATGTTAGTTGAGTTTTTTCCCGGAAAGCACAGATGCGGTTCACATACGCAAGAGACGACGGCACCCATATTGAAGATGAAGGGCTTTTCTTGGGGTTTGTATCAAGGTGTTGATTTATTTTGGTTTGGAGGTGAGAGTAGACTCTGAGCTAGAGGAAGCGTGTGTGTGGACTGTTGGATCACTGAAAGGGTGCATATTGAAGATGATAAAGTAGACGGAGAGGATGTTTAAATAAAGAATGGCAACAAATGATCGTCTTAGACAGGAACTGTTGTTTCTTGTTTAGATACGTAAGTGGTGTCCGAAAGAGGCGATTGATTGGCAGGTTCGTGCAGTTAAGCTTGTCTTGCGAGGAGTCAGAAATCACAAGGTGCAGACGCCAGTGACGTCGTTGGAAAAGCTATGACAGAATTTCAAGGTTTGGTGAAGAATGAGAGAAGAAGATCGAAGATGAGAAGCAGTACTATTTTGTAATGGAGTGCATGGCTAAATGACAAGGTACCAGGGGACTGTCAAACCCATCATGCCGTCATCTCGACGCAGACCGACCATTCCTTGATTTCGGATTTGTTCGACAGCACAAAATCTTTACATTGGAGACTTGATGGGACAATTGATGGACTCTAAATGGGCGGGTTAGCGTTCAAGAATAACTGCAGTTTTAATTTTAATTAAACCATCTTGAACCCTTTTCAAATGATATTCTTCTTCGGTGATAGCTTTTTTTTTGCTGATAGTCTTTGACGTCATTTGATAACAGGCTAAGCCCAATTTATCAACAGGCGGGGGTGAGCCATGTGTAATCACGTGGCTTTCATGCCCTCCAATGCCAAGCCCTAACGCCAAGCCATTTCCTGTCGGGCTCTTTTCCGCCAATCAGACAAAGGTAGGCTCAGACTTGGCCTGCAACGTTGTATAGTACTTTCTGAGGTTATATGCGAAAGTGCAACATACTACAATTGAAGTCAACACTCGTGAATCAGAAATGATTCATGCTCAAAGATTGATCTACTCAAGATAAAGAAAAGGCTCAATTGCTCCATGGGCCCCTCAAAAGGCGAAGATGAAATTATGACGCGGACAAGGCTCGCTCCGCCGGAGCCCGCAAGCAGTTCACTTATCCCCAAATCGAAGCGCCGACCAGGTCGCACCTTCAAGAAACCGATTCGGAGCAGCTCATCTCGATCGTCCCGGTCTTCCCGCTCGAGGTCGAGCCCCTATGACCGTCCTTCTAATTCGCCTAGACCTAGAATCTCGCGCCCGGATACTCCGCGCAGGATGTCCATCCTGGAGGCCCTCCCAGTCGAGATTATTGAGCAGATCTTCCTATACTCGCTCAATCTAAACTTCCCCCGAGCTTCACCGTTCCTATCTCGGGCCCTCTCCCGTGAACACATCTACCGCGCTCTCATCCTTCTTGCATTCTGGAATGATGCGCCCGACAACCCCCGTAGCAAGGCCATTGACCGCATGATGGTCCCGCTCGACTACGTTCCTCTCAAACTGGAGGAGCGTGCCCGCTTACAGGAAGCCGTATTCAAGTGCAGGTGGTGTACCGTGGACCGCGTGCGCGAACAGGTCCCGACAATGCAGATCCTGAGTATCTACCGTCGCTGGATCAACACCGGTATTTTGACGGAGGAAGAGGAGCAGGATGCGTTTGAAAAGCTCATAGCACGTAAGGACGATAGCGTCCGCATCTTCCATGGCGAGGGCCCCCCAATGAAGGAATTAGCTAGCCTGCCCCCAGAGCCCTTCCGGATGACCCTGAACGCGATGAACGGCATTCAAAAATACAAGCTCCATGTCATGCCAATGGTCGCCACCGAGCTCCAATGTGCGGAGACGGGGTTTATTGTCAATATACCTGCACTAGACCTGTGCAAATTCCCATCCCACCTCCTCCGAGGCCGCAGCGACGGTTTCCTTCCGGAAGACGTCGATTTCCTAGAGATGCTGCGCATAACCTCGTGCAATTGGACCCCTCCAAAGAGCTCCTTGTTGCCCTCAACTCTGACTAAAGTCGACCGAAAAGCCCTGAATGAAGGGGTCCAGAACGCAATTCGTCATCAGAACTTCGATGCCATGCTCTCCCTCCTCAAAATCGACGAGTTCCTCTTCCGCTATAAAGTAGAGAACCAACGCCGCCGCGTCTACTATACGATCCCATCTGAACACTTCCTCGTTGTTACCCGCACCGGCCGCGACAAGCCACATCTCAACTTGGACTTCTTCGAGGCTCTCCTCCGTGCTAGTGCGGAGTCTTTGCCTAGCTGGTCATCCGAGATAACGAAGTGGACTGTGGACAATATGGAACTCGCGAAGAAGGACCCGGATACTTATAATCAGACTAATGGTAAGTTTGCGCGTTGGTTGTCGAATTTCCTGCTGCGTCTTCCTGCGAAGGTTGAGTATGCCCATGAATTCCCGACTGGTCAGCAGCTGTTCTGTAATGGTCAGTTGGATGTCACAGATTTTGAGGGCGGTCGCTTTGTCGATGAGGTTCTTGATGCCTTCCCCAAACCATTAGGGAATTGGATGATGGAGAGTTCGTTCCGAACTGAAGATCACTGGCTGAAGAAGTCCGGTCCCTCTCTTCCTCCATGAGATTGTTCCGAGTATTCTCACCAATACTTTGTTGTTAGCGCTATACCCGGATGTTAGATTTTCTGTCATGTAACATAAGAGTCCCACGTATAAATCTGTATGAAATGTAATTTACTTTGAATTAAATGTTCCTACAGCAGGAGGTATTACCTATAGCAAGATGGAGTATGTATAGTACAAAAATATCGATATGAGACAAGAATTTTGGAATGGTTTCCCGAAGGGCAAACCCATCAAATATTCTTCAACAACCGGAGAATACCAGCAATACGCCCACCGAGCGTCAACTGATATCCCAATTCAACAATACCCTTACACATCTCCCAAGCGGCAACCCCACCCTGAGCATCCGCTGCGTTCGACCGGTCTTGGATAGGATAGTCCACGCGCGGCGGAATACCAGTGCCAATCAAAGTAGGGAATCGATCAGCGCAAACGGCCTTGATATTGCACAGGCCGCGCAGTCCCTCATCGCCCGCGAACCGGCCGTATCCAGATCCGCGCACGCCGCCGAACGGCAGTTGCACAGCGTAAAAGGCGCCGAAGTCGTTGATCGCTACCATTCCGGCAGATATTTTCGACACGCAGGCTTGCACGTCCGCTTGTCGGTGTCCGAAGACGCTGGCGCCTAGTGCATACGGTGTTGAGTTTGAGATGGCAATTGCGTCGGATACGGACTCGGCGCGCATCATAAGGAAGACGGGGGCGAAGAGCTCTGTCTGCGCGATCCGCATGTCGCGTGTCACGTCTACTAGTAGGGTTGGTGTGAAGTAGTGGCCATGTTGGTGGACTGGGTGCTTGTGCTCGGTACCGCCGGCGAGGAGACGTGCGCCTTGTTCTACGGCTTCGTTGATGAGTGCCTCCAGCTTGGCGAAGGAGACAGGCGAGATCATCGCACCAACGTCTGGGGTTGCGGTGTCAAGGAGGACAGAGCCGAGGTGGAGATTTTGAATTCGTGGTGTTACAATTTCGATGAGTCGGTCGTATGCGCTGGGGAGGGCGATGACACGCTCGATGCCGATGCAGTTCTGACCAGATGATTGGAAAACACCGCGCATGAGGACAGACGCGATGGAGGGCATGTTGCGGAGAGTGCGGGAGTCGTCCAAGATCACGGCGGGGTCTTTGCCACCCAGCTCGACACATACGGGGATGAGAGATTTAGCTGCTGATGTGCATACGTGGTGGGCAACGGGTCGGGATCCAATGAAGGTTATATGCGCGATATCAGGGTGCGAGGTGAATGTGTCGGCAACGTTGGGTAAACAGACTAGCGACTGGACTAGATCGCGTGAGTGACCACAGCTAGAGAGCGCGCCGCGCACCATATCGAGGAAGTAGATTGCAGACCATGCGGTCTGCTCGGACGGTTTGACAACAACTGCGTTACCGGTAAACAGCGCGCTGATGATCGGACCGATGAAGTTGTGTAACGGGTAGTTCCAGGAGACACAGGCACCCACCACGCCTAACGGTTCGTATGTGACCGTGTTCTTCTTGTACATCATCAGGAAGTTGGTTGGCCGCCGCTCTGGTAGTAGTGCCTTCTCGCCATGGTCGATTGTCCACTTGAGCTTCTCCACTGTCACAAGGATCTCGCCGAATGAGCCGTCAACCTTTGTTTTACCCGAATCCAGGCAGCATGCGGTAACGAGGTCTTCTTGATGGTCTAGGACATATCTGCGAGATGTTAGCCGGACAAGCCTTAGGGGCGCCGCAGGGAACGCGCAATGGTTTCATAGGATGGAGAAAAGTTGCCAATCCACGTACTTCAACAGTGTCCGGAGAACCTTTCTGCGCTCTGCAAAGGTAGTCTTTGCCCACTCTGGTTGAGCAGCTCCCGCAATCTGAACGGCCTTGTTGACATCTTCGACCGTGGCGGGCTTGATTCCGTTACCGAGCACCCTCCCATCGGCAGGACTGTAGCTCATAATCAATTGATGGTTCCATTTCTGCGTAGTAGACCAGCAATTAGCTCAAGTATAAGAAAAAGAAGCCGAAATAAAAAACAATCCCGAGCCAAAGACTAGGCTTAACTCACTCCGCGAGCTTGATCCTGCAAGACCATTTTCTGCTGCCCCTGAACCTCATCCCATGTCTTGATCGATCCACTCTTGCGCACTTCGGATGGGATAGGAACATTGAAAATGACCGCTGCCTCTCTCCAGCTCTGGAGGTAGAGGTACCCCACGTATACGGCGACAAGGGAGGTGAACGCGACTCCGATGTGCGGGGCGTACTCTGCCGACCCAGGAGGCGCGTAGGCCTCCAGAAGAGTACGCAGCGAGGGCGGAATGTGGGATGCCAGGTAATCCATGGCGGGAATGGTGCAATTGGACAACTGGGAAGTGTTGTTGGAAGAATAAAGGGAGTTCCTGGAGACTTCTGCGTTTGCGATAAGGCGATAAGTGTCCCGCGCCCCAGGGGTACGAGGTCTAGGGCAGTCGTGCCATACAACATAGACTGGCAAATTTCTAGGAATATCAGAAGACTGAATTTAGGAAATTTATGTTTGTGTTTAGCAATAATGTTGTATTGAGAGCAAGAGCAATACGGTAAATATATAAAATATAGAGTACAAATATTGGGCTTAAGCCATTCACCGTCATATATTGATGCGATCAATCCTCATTTCGTAAAGATTCTACTCTCGTTTCACATAATGTCGTTGTCATAAATGCATTCATTCGTCACTTGTTTCGTCGGAAATCGAACTCTCGCTTTCGTCAGTCTCATCCTCGGAGTCCTTGTTCGTCCTCTTGCGCTTGCCAGCCGCGCTCTTAGGAGCTGCTTTCTTTTTCGAAACCACAGTCGGACCGTTGCCCTTGCGCTTCCCATCGCGAGTCAACAGGTGGTCAATGATACAGCCATCCTCCCAGCCAGCACTGGACTCGCCGGTAGCAGCTCGGCACCGGGGGCAGGTCTTCCCATGCCGGATGAACAGCTGGTGGAGCGAATATTTCAAGTGGTCGGGGATGCGCACTTCCAGGTGGCTGAAGGCAGTTACCTCGTTTGCACGAGCAGGAATCCATCCGAGCCAGCGACAGAGTCGGAATATGTGTGTGTCGACGGCGAAACAGGGCCGCTGGAGGCAGAACAGGATCACGCAAGCGGCTGTCTTGGGTCCAATCCCGGGGTACTTGATCAGATCGGTCATAGCTTCTTCAGTGCTGAGATTGTGGAGGTGGTTGAGAGAGAGGAAGTTCTGATCTGCGCATGCAATCTCGTATTGCTTGTCCTTTTCAGCCTTTTCAGGGACTAGCTTGGACATTGAGTCGTTCTTGGACTCAGAATCTAGCAATGTAGCTCGGCGTGCCTGGTTGTCCTCGTGGACTATGTCAAGAATCGCCTTGAGGTTCTTGCTTTTGATGTCGGCCAAGCCGCCACTTTTGATTGCTTCAAACACGTCTTTCACAGTGGCCTGTCGTACGGCATCCCAATTCACGCTTCCTTTGCCGATGCCTTCTGAAAGAACGCCGAATCGTTGCACAAGCCCACTAAAGGCCTTGGCGGCATTGTTGCCTGTGGTGGCACCGCTGAGAAGAGTGCGGATTAAAGCATCCAGAACAGATGGGACCTCACCACACCCGGTGACTGTCAGGGAGGGTTCAGGGATGGTTGTTGGAGCAGTGGCTACCCCATGAATGTTGGACAACAGCCGATTGACATTTTCACACTCCTCGGTGGTCGGTCGAACCAGTTCGGGGAAAGGAGAGATACCAGGCGTCAAGCCATAAGTACTCTTCTTTGGCTTGCGGCCGGTTGGGGTGGATTGAATCTTGGGTTCTTTCTTTAGCTTGGTTGTAGCTTTGTCCACAGTGTCTTGAAGCTTAGTAGCCGTATTGATGACCTGATTCCCCTTTGTAGTTTGGTTTTCCTTGTCAGATCCGGCAATCGAGGCTGTGGGTTCCGTTTCCATAGACGTTGGGACCGGGACAGATCCTAGGTTGTGAGGGAGTTCATCGAACAAGGCTAGGGGTACCGCTGGATTCTCTTGCTTAATTGTGGTATTAGAATTGCTGGAAGATTTCAAATCAGTGATAGTGTTAATTTTAGGTGTATCCAGAGCATTGGAGGCATTGGAATTGCCAGAGGGGTTGAGACGCTTTCGTTTGTTCGCTTTAGTAGTGTTTGGCGGTTGAGTGATCGAAGGGGTGTTTTCTTCTTTCGCAATCAATGCAGCAGCAGCCCGTGCTGTGGAGCGAGTAATGCGGCGTTCCATGAGAGAAGGTCAGGCCAGACGGCCTGCAGCAAGTGTCGATTTCCTTCGTTGCACAGCCTGGTGTACAAGAGCCGATAAACGATAACTGGTGTATCAAGATGTACTAATCCAATCCAACCATCAACAAGAGGATCGAGTTGAAAGGTTAAAAGATGTTTAACGCAGCATTATGGGTCGATGATGCGGAGGGAATGAGGTGATTCTATTGGCCAATGACTTTGACACGTGACCTGCCTCTTTGGACAATGACCAAAATGAAAAACAGCATGACTTCAACAACATTGGAATATTGCATTTATTTTAGCTTCATCAAGAGTTATTGACAAGTGTATCTCAAGACACCGGGTATTGGCATTTTAAATGCATTTCCACATCATTTCCACATCATGTAGCCACAAACAGCCACTGAGCACATATGCTCCCTCAAACAAACGCCCAGACACCCAATGCAAATTACCAAAATGGTGGAGAAAAAAAATATATAAAAAAAAAGATTAAAAATCAGATGTCTCATAATCATGCCTCATGGTCAGCCTGGTTGTGGATGCTAATGTCCATGCGGTCCGAGACCTTAGGGTTGTGTTGGTCCTCGGCCTTGCCGGCCTGCTTGACGGCACCAATTGCCGACGACTCGTTATCAATGGCAGGGATTATCTTGCCATTGGTGTCCATGGTGACTCCGTGAGCGGCAATCTGGAAGTCGGTCATGTTGGCAAAGCCATTGGTGACAGCCTCCTTGGCCTTGTCGAGAGCCTTGACCTTGCGGCCTTCGCCACGGACGGCCTCGAGATGCTCGAAGTAACCGGATGAAACGGGGGTAACGTAACTACCACAGAAGACGCCGACCTCGAAGTTTGTAGGCTCTTCCTGACCATTCTCACGGGCAACCTCGGCACAGGCGTCCTTGAGATCAGACAGAGTTTGGAAGACAACTGCCTCCGCGCCAATGTGCTTGGCGATGGCCTCTGAGTTCCGGTTGTGCGCAACCAACTCTTGAGGCGAGGCAAGGTCGATACCGTAGATGTGGGCATGTGTGATCTCCGGTGCACAGCTAGCAAGGTAGACCTTCTTGGCGCCGGCTTCCCGGGCCATGTTGACAATTTCGCGACTGGTAGTACCACGCACAATACTGTCATCAACCAGCAGGACGTTGCGATCCTTGAACTCAGCCTTCATGGCATTGAGCTTGCGGCGGACACCCCTTTGCCGTGTCTTTTGCTCCGGCATGATGAAAGTTCGGAAGACGTAACGGTTCTTGACGAAACCGTGGCAGTAAGGCTTGTTGAGGTATAGTGCGACATTTGACGCGGACGTAGTAGCCGTCTCAGGAATAGGAATGACCACGTCAATGTCTTTCACGACCTCGGGACCCAGGACATCAAGGATCCGTGCACCGAGACGGTCACCCATGCGTTGCCGGCTACGGTACACACTGATGCCATCCATGATGGAGTCAGGGCGAGCGAAGTAGACATACTCGAAAATATCCGGGGCATAGGCCTTCTTGGGAGCCACCTGGCGGAAGACCGGCTCACCGCCCTTGGCGATGATAACCGCCTCACCAGGCTGAATGTCACGGTGGTTGGTGAAACCCAGCTGGTCGAGGGCTACTGATTCAGAAGACATCATGTAGTCCATGCCAGGTCCATCGGCGGACTCACGAGAGCCCAAAATGAGGGGACGGATACCGTATGAATCACGGAAACCCAAGATGCCAAAGCCTAGATTGCTAGTTAGTATTGTAGACTATAGGGGTACCAGGAATGATTTTCAACTTACCAGCAAGCATAGCAGTGCAGGCCCATCCACCCTCGCAACGCTTGTACATGCGAGTCAAGCTAGCAAAGAGGTCCTCGTGGTTGACACGGGCCTTCTTGGTCTCGCTTAGCTCATCAGCGAAGACGTTGAGCATCAGCTCGCTGTCACTATCGGTGTTGATATGACGGTGGGCTTCAAGGTCAAGGTGCTTCTTGAGGTCCCCGGCGTTAATCAGGTTACCGTTGTGCGCAAAGCAAATACCGTAGGGGCTGTTCACATAGAACGGCTGGGCCTCGGCGTTGGCACTGGATCCTGCGGTCGGATACCGCAGATGGCCAATACCCATGGAGCCGGGGAGGTTGGCCACCTTAGCACCTTCTTGGAAGACCTTGGCAGCCATGCCGTTGGCCTTAAGTTGGTAGATACGACCGCCGGATGCGCATGTCGCAATACCGGCTGCATCCTGACCACGATCTGTGATACCAAAACCTTTAGCCTCGCGGTCGCAGGAGTATATATTCTGGCCGGAACTCACGTTGGAGAAGGTAAAGTGCCTCGTGGAGATCCACGGCGGCCGTAGATGAGGGGTTCGCCTGGATCAGCGCAATGATACCACACATCCTGGCGGAGGGTAGGTTTTCTGCGAGGGACGAAGAGAATTAGTACCATCGTTCATCCATTGCATTCACAGTGTATAGCAAGATTGCAGTGTCTCAAATCAGTTCAGGTGTTTTCTCCGCAACAATTGTTTAGGAAGTCTAACATCTATAAAAAAACCATAATTCATCATAAGAGACAGGGAAGGGTGATGCTCTGAATAAAGCTGAAAAACAAAAACAATAAAACCATGCGACTTACCAAAACCAGATCACGTAAAAGAAGGAGTGAAGTTTAGAGAATGGTCATCACTAGAAATGAACACCACCCCAAGAAGACAGAAAGAGGGAGGGAAATATTCCATGGTAGTCGTGTTTCTTCGGTCGTTGTGCTGCCCCACAGAACTAAATTTTCTCTTCTCTTGCCCGGGCCGACCTCGGGGCGACGTCATTACTAAGCAATACCCCTCCGGGGCCCATGCCCTACTATCCGGAACGGGACAAGCGTCTATGTTGTATAGAGTTGATGTTGAACTTGATACATACATGGATGTACAACCTTAGCTTGGAAGAGTCACCTTCAATGAGATATCATGAATACCATGGCTTTATACCAGTCTTTCATGCTTCACAAAACTAGGTATCATCTGCTGCTTTGTTGACCAGATAGAAATACATAGACGAATCCGTAAGAGTTGCTTCACTTGACTTGTTATGTATAGAAGATCTGGCAAAGCCTTCTGCCCCTTCTCTTTACATCACATGTCCGAGCTAAATTGTGTTTATTCGCGCAAGGCTGGTTTCGAATACCCGGCTATAGCAGTAGAAGTGTTTCTGAAGTCATCTGAACTTGAGATCCCATTAGATCCCAAGATCATCCATTGGTTTGATATTGAGAATTGTTTTCTTCACCTTGACTTCAAACCTGGACTTTGCATCCTCACATAAACTGAGTGTGGAGCATCTTTATCGGCCAACCATCACACCAATGGCTGATATCAATGATCGATCCCGAATTTCGGTGTCTCCCTTCGGAGATCCGATTCCTGTCAGCACGGCGGAGTTTCGAGCAGTAACTCATGAGCCAACAATGCCTGACGACGACATCATCATGTTCGATCCGTCGGAGATTTTTATTACTTCACCCATGCAGGAGCCCAGTCATACCTCCTTCCTCCCCACCGAGAACATGCAGACCGTGATTGACCTGACTTGTGACGATGAAAGCAACCAAGCCATGGAAGAATTGACCTCTGACATGGCTAATGTTGCGGCTCCCTCCGCCATCGTCCCCGGCGACGACTCAGCAAGTGTCCGGTCTTCCTCCGGCAACTCTTCTCTCATCAGCAACCAGTCTGCCAGCTGCAGCCCAACGCCAGAGACAGCGCAGCAAGGAATCAACATTGGGGGAATTGTGTTCAAAGCTGGAATTTCCTTGGAGCTTGATGATGGCTCTTTCATGCGTGTGGAAGACGTGATTCCTCAACCTCATGACCTACGTTTTTTCGGCAGGCGTCTTTACCGCACGACTCACCCCGAAGCCAAGACATACCTTCCAAAACTCAACGATGAATTGGTCTGGCTCACTCAGAACACAGACCACGTCAGCATCAAGAGAGTCAGACGGGTTGTGCCCATTCGCTTCACCAACTATCGGACTGACTTCAACAACCTCACGCCGGGAGCAGAACTGACTTGCCGACTGAAGCTCACCATTCGCCAGAACGGGGTTGTCATTATCCCTGGCCACGCACCTTTGAGTGCAGAACAGTGTGCAATTGAATGGTTGAACTTCTCCGAATCAGATCAAGGACTTGGCAAACCCGCGAACCAGCTGCGTGCCGAATGGAGAGGGCAGACTGTGCCTTTCGGTGAGGCCAGGGCGTCTTCTATGGCTAGGGATCTTGAACGACAGGGAGTGATTGATCTGACTGCCCCTGACCGTGCATACACCTTCGGTGACGCTTACTGTGGTGCTGGTGGTGTGTCTTGCGGGGCCAAGCAAGCTGGCGTGAAGCTCCAATGGGCTGTTGATATCGACAAATATGCACTGGAAACATATCAGCTGAATTTTGACGACGTAGAGGTCGAGCATTCGGACTTTTTCAGTTTTCTTACCAACGATCCGAGATTCCTACGAGTTGATATTGCACACTGTTCGCCCCCCCTGCCAAACGTGGTCTCCTGCTCATACCGTACCCTGTCCTCGTGATGACGCCAACTCTGCCTGCGTATTTTCGGCTGGAAGCCTGATTCGAGAATCACGTCCCCGGGTGTTGACCATGGAGGAAACCATGGGATTGCCGCAACGATTTCCCGTCATATTTAACCGAGTTGTACTGGACATGGTTGAATTTGGATATTCTGTTCGCTGGTCGGTACTGGGGTGTGACGAATATGGTGTGCCCCAGGAGCGAAAGAGGCTGCTTCTCATTGCTGCGGGGTAAGTGAAGCGAAAGACGAAGCCTTTCATATTTCGATTTTATATATCTAACCACGTGCTCATAGACCCGGTGAAGTCCTGCCACATTATGCACAACCCACTCACGGCATGCCTGGCCACGGTTTACTTCCCCGAGAGACCATTTCATCCACCATCGACAACATTCCTCCCCATGCCGACGATCACAATGTTGAAGGGGCACTGGCACGGTGGGCTCTGAGTCACCGACCGTCGTTTGATCGCCACTCTCTAGCTAGGACCATTACTTGCGGTGGCGGCGAATACAACTACCACCCCTCGGGAACCCGGCCCTATACCAGTCGTGAGATGGCCCTCTTGCAGACATTTCCCCTGGAATTTCAGTTTACTGGAAGATTCATGCGCAAGCAGATTGGGAATGCGGTGCCCCCGCTCTTCGCCAAGGCTATCTATGGAGAGATCGTCAAGTCTCTGCGTGAGACCGATACAGAGGAGGCCATGGGAATCTTCCACTGACTAGGGAGAGGATGAGAGAAAGGTGAGGAATAGGAAGAGACAGGGGAGTTGGGGATTGGGGATTGGGGATTGGGGATGGGGGATTGGGTGGTGCTGATCTGCCTCACGTGCAGATCAGCCGAGGGCGAAGGGGGAGCTCGGTGTGAGCTCTATCTCAGTACAAAGGATCTTTCTTTACCTTTTCTTGCACATCCGGACCACGAATATTCCGATTTCGCTACATCTTGTAGCTAATGCCTGTTGCTGCTTTTCTTTACGTCCGATACTCGGATTCCCATGTTCTAGGGAGCTCAACAGACGGAAATGTAGCAATAAGTTCGGCCCATTCAGAGAGTGATAGTGTAATTATTGGCCTGTCGATCTGTAGACGAGGTAATTCATCCCATAAACAAGGGAGGAGGAGGTGTACAAAGGTAGAGTGAAGTGATAACCGACTGTAACCGACCCTCGGCAGGATGAAGTCAGCTTGGAACTCTTCCCCGGCCATTTTCTCCCTTTCTCCCCCAACATTTCTCCTTTCGTCCATTTGTTTTTAAATAAATCACCATCTTCCCCCCCTCCCTCTCTCCAATTGTGTCAATTGTTGAACCCTCAACTTCGATCTTATTCCCCAATTCTTCTTTCACAATGTCCCTGCCCGCAGTGAGACGCCTGACCCACACCTCTCCCCGCACTTTGGCCCGCATCTCCAGATTTCCCACTTTAGCATCTTCCCTCTCCATTACTCCCCGTATTTCTGTTCCTCGCACTCCCCGTTTCTCTACAATGGCCGCCCGTCAATCTACCGCCCCGGCGGTTCATACCGACAAGTCCTATGACCCTGAAATTCAGGATATGGCCAGTTACATCCACGACTATAAGGTGGATTCCGACTTGGCAGTAAGTTAGCTCCGGCTCGGTCAAATGGAGCACTGGCTAATTCTAGAATTTGTTGCTTTGCAGTTTGACACTGCCCGTCTGGTGTTTCTAGACACCCTTGGCTGTGGATTGGAAGCTCTGAAGTTCAAGGAATGCGCGAAGCTCCTTGGCCCCGTTGTGGACGGTACTGTCGTCCCCAACGGTACCCGTGTGCTTGGCACACCTTACCAACTGGACCCCGTCAATGGCGCTTTCAACATCGGTGCTATGATTCGCTGGCTCGACTACAATGACTGCTGGCTCGCTGCCGAGTGGGGTCACCCCTCGGACAACCTAGGTGGTATCTTGGCTGTGGCCGACTGGATCTCGCGCACCAACCGCGCTGGTGGAAACCTTGGCAACGGCAAGATCCTGAAGATTCATGATGTTTTGGAGGCCATGATCAAGGCCCACGAGATTCAGGGTGTCTTGGCCCTGGAGAACTCCTACAACAAGGTCGGCCTTGACCACGTTGTTCTCGTCAAGGTTGCGACCGCCGCTGTCGTCTCCAAGATGATGGGTCTTACTGAGAAGCAGACCGCCGATGCTATTACCCAAGCTTGGGTGGACGGCCAATCTCTCCGTACCTACCGCCACTCACCCAACACCATGTCGCGTAAGTCGTGGGCTGCCGGTGACGCCTGCCAGCGCGCTGTCAACCTGGTTCTAAAGGTCCAAAAGGGCGAGGGTGGTCTCCGCACTGTTCTCTCTGCCCCTACCTGGGGCTTCTATGATGTCCTGTTCAAGGGCAAGAAGTTCCAGTTCCAGCGCCCCTACGGCAGTTACGTCATGGAGAACGTTCTGTTCAAGGTTTCCTACCCTGGTAAGCGCAATGATATTTTGCAGAAAATGATCCTGTATAGAGATTGGCAATAGCTAACTCCTTTTTAATAGCCGAGTTCCACTCTCAGACTGCCATTGAGGCTGCTGAAAAGGTCAATGCCAAGCTTGCGGCCATGGGCAAGAGTGCCAAGGACATCAAGGAAATCACCAACCGCACACACGAGGCATGCATCCGTATCATCGACAAGCAGTTCAAGGAGATGGACAACTTTGCCGACCGTGACCACTGTGTGCAGTACATGGTTGCCACCATGCTCGTCTTCGGCCGTCTGACTGCTAGCGACTACGCTGACGGCTCCGAGGCCGCCACCTCCCCTCTGCTGGAGGAACTCCGCAAGAAGATCCGCTGTGTCGAGGACACTAAGTTCACCACCGATTACCACGACCCCAGCAAGCGCACCATCCCCAACGCGCTTACCGTCACCCTGAACGACGGCACTGTCCTCGAGGAGGTCGTCGTCGAGGCTCCTCTGGGCCACCGTCTCCGCCGTGAGGAGGCCAAGCCTGAGATTCTGGCCAAGTACAAGCGCCATCTCGAGGCGCACTTTGACAAAGCTCGCGTCGATGAGCTGCTGGAGTTGGGCTGGAACCGCTCTCAGCTGGAGAACTACGATGTCGACCAGTATGTCGACCTCTACGTGAAGGACAAGGTGATTGCCTCTTCGTAAACATTGAATGACTGGGTCTGGTGTGCTACTGTGTTGGACACCCCACGTGTATGACGAACTTATATTTTTTTTTATATACCGCAAAATTGCATAGAGCTTTCTTTTTCAGTATTTCTTCAATATTCTTCCCATCCACAATAATACTTTACATAGGTCTTCTCCATTCTCAGCCCGAGGCACCTGCAGTGCACTTCACCCCCAATGTAGACGGGGTGTTAGCACACTGCACCTCACTACCCCCAGTGGGCGCCACAACAGTATAGTTCTTAACCTTGACATCGCAAGTTCCACGAGCTCCACAAGAAAGATTGCCGGTAACAGCCTTATACTTTCCACTCGTCTTACCACGAATATTATCGAAAACAATGCCCGTCAAGTCCGAATCTCCAGGATTCTTCACACAGTAGTCGCCCTTCTCTCCATAACAACTCTGGATCTGAATCGCATAGTCACACCCATCAACGGTAATATCCGTGAAAGTAATATTGCTCACTGTCGACTTGGCGTGGCCGTTACCAGTGGGATACGTCTTGATTCCCACCGCCTTGGTCGACTTGATCATCTTCGCACCGGACACATGCACATTCTTCACAAAGTCCTTGGCACTCTTTCCCAGGGATCCCACAGATAGTCCATGGCTTCCCGTGCAGGTAATGTCTTTGACGATAACGCCGTCCGCACCGGGCTTGAAGGCCACGCAGTCATCGTCGTTTGTCACATGGACGTTGCTGATGGTAACATCTGTGCTGGCACCGATGTCGAAGCCATCCGTGTTCTTCGGCTCATTCTTGCTTTTGGATGTGGCATCCATGTGCAGATTGAGGAATTTCGCGGTCTTGGTGTTGCCCTTGACGGAGTTGAAGACATTAGGGGGTTCTTTTGGCGGAGGTTTGAGACCTCGATGTTAGAGCCACCGGTGATGTAAAGCAGAGTTGGGCGGCGGTAGCTGCTGTCTTTGGCGAAAAGGTCCCATCTACACACGATATTAGTAAACTGAAATGGGAGCCGAAACAAAAATATAATAAAAAGGAAAGGAAAGGAATACGTACGCCGCTTGACCATTTCCATCGATGACTCCTTTGCCTGACAGAGATCGGATCTTAAGTCCATCAATATTCTTGATGTTGATCATTGCTGTCTGTCCCTTCCAGACATTTGTGGACGAGCTGAATTTCAAGGTTCCTTCCAACTGGAAGTCACAGCCAGCACATCCTGCAAAGTCCAATGGGCTATTCAGGTTGTAGGTTTTGCCGGCGGGAATGATGATAGTGCCTCCCTTGCCGCATTTGGCAATTGCCGCTGCAATAGCGGGAGTATCATCAGATCCACCTGCTACTGGTGTGCAAGCTGAAGCGCGAACATGATGTTGGTGTCTTGCGTCTGGGAGGGCGAGAGATGAGCCGAGGAGGGCAAAGATTGCGAGGGCTTTTGTTATCGACATGGCGCAAGTGATTAGAGGTATCACAGGTATAGTCTGGATATATCTACTCCGTGCATATCTAGTGGATTATAGCTTTTATAACGTTTCTTTTCCCCTTTTCTATTCCCCCTTTCTCTTTTTGGGTATTTTGCATGTGGTAGGTTCCAATGTTTCGTCAACCGATAAATAAGACAACCTGAAACAACGCCTCCGTTTTAGCCTTGGGGCTGGTCACTCGAGGAATAATTTCTTCGGTGAATATCATTTCTTTTTTCGAACAGAGACAGGACCCTAAAAACCCTATTGGATTACCCAATATAACTTATCCTCCCGAGGTCCGTTTTCCCCGATCTACGAACTGTCTCCAGCATAGACCATATCCACTTCGGTTATAGCCACGGAAGTCCGTGTAAACTTGTCATCTCAAATTAAGACAAATGAAAAAAATTAATTTGTTGTGGATATATTTGCCTAAATATATTTACCCCTTAACCACGGCCACGGAACCCTGGCTGCATATGGAAATGTCTCGGAGAAATATGTCTCATTTTACCTTTTTCAACTATACCAAAGCTCCGGTAGGCCTAAGTGGGGTTTCACCTTGAAACAACCCCCGTATACTAGACTTGAACCATTGTATGTACTCCGTCGTATACTCTGTACTCCGTACGGAGTACATAAACCGACAATCATTCCCTCTTTCACAGTAAAAAGGTAAAACAATAATTCCTACCAAATGCTTCCACACAACTTCCTCCTCGCTGCTCTATCCCTGGGCGCGGCTGTCCTGGCCGCACCCACTGAACTAGTTGCTCGCACAGCTAGGACCAGTGCCCCCGCAGGTTGCTTGACCGTCGGTTCGCACGGGAAGTACTCCACTATCGGCGCTGCATTGAATGCTCTCGGTTCTTCCAAGAACCCGGCTTGTATCTATGTCGCAAGTGGCACATACAAGGAACAGCTCACTATCAACTATGGCGGTGCTTTGACTTTGTATGGTCAGACCGTTGATGCGGACACGTACAAGGAGAACACTGTGACCATTACCCACACCATCTCTTCCCCTGCCGCTGGCTCGTTGGATAAGAGTGCTACTGTGAATGTTGTCGCCTCTGGCTTTAAGATGCACAACATCAATGTGGTGAATGGATTCGGCAAAAGTGCGCAGGCTGTTGCGTGAGTATATATCTCTTTCTGTAGTAGTTGAATTAGTAGCTGACTCTACCAGACTCGTCGCCAATGCCGATAAGCTCGGCTTCTACGCATGCCAGTTCCTTGGATACCAGGATACCCTGTACGTCAAGTCTGGAAAACAGTACTATTCCAACTCGAAGATTGAGGGTAAGTCATTTCCCTGTAACATTTACCAATCTCACTATTATATACTAACAATCCTTAGGAGCTGTTGACTACATCTTCGGTGCGGCTTCCGCTTGGTTCAACAACTGCGACATCGTCTCCAACGGCCCCGGCGCTATCACTGCCAGCTCGCGCGAGAATGCCAACGACAAGACTTGGTACGCATTTGACCGCTGCAATATTAAGGGCTCTGTCGCCGATGGCAGTGTATTCCTTGGCCGCCCATGGCGTGGTCTTGCCCGGGTCATCTACCAGAACTCCAACCTGGGTAAGGTGGTCAATGCCAAGGGATGGACCCCAATGGCACAGGGTGCTACACCATTGTACTATGAGTACAAGAATACTGGGGCTGGGTCGAGCACTTCTGCGCGTCAGTACTTGAGCCACATCTCGGGTGCCGTCACTAAGGAGACTGTTTTGGGAAGTGACTACGCTACTTGGATTTGATTCAAGTTCTTAGTGGATCGAACTATGGGCCCATACCAGGGTCTAGTTTTTTGAAATGTATTTTTAGGGAGACAGTTTTGGGGCTGATTGGATTGACTCGAGAAGTTATGGGTGAACTTGTGGAGTCAGGTCAGGGTTTTTACAGTTTCTTGTGATGTATTTTTACTGTGTGTAAATTGTGCATATATACAATGTACATAATAAAGGTTGTGTATTACTCCCTAATCTCATAAGAATAAGGCAACAACTCTTCAATCGTAACGGATTTCACCTTTCCACCCTTCTGCACGATAGTCCTAATCCCAGGATGCAAATCATGCAGCACTTGTCGACACCGACCACATGGATTGAGAATAACTCCATCGCCGCCGTCTTCCCCAACAGCAACGATATGCGATAGACGAGGAGTCCCAACACTAGCAGCCACACCAATGACCACGAGCTCGGCACATGGTCCGCCTGTGAAGTGAAACACGTTCACGCCGGTGAAAACTTGGCCGTTGGATGAGAGGGCTGCGCTGGCTACGCTGTGGTTGTCTGATTTAGGGATAGTATTGATTGTTGTTCTTGCGATTTCGATGAGGTTGGTTTCTTCAGGGGTCAAATCCATGGCGACGAATGGACTTCGATGATTTCGATAAGAAGTATGTGTAATGTGGTAAAATGTTCTAAATTAGGAAAGCCTGGATGGTAGCATACATAGAATGTGTATATCTTGGGGAGAAATTTGAAAAAGGAGCAACTTAAAAGTTGTCTGCACAGCCGGCGGGGAATGCGGAGTTCTGAGAGAAATTTCCTATTCCGGTGCCCGATTGCCCAGAGGTGGTTGTTGCGGGAGATGAGAGAGTATACAATCATAATAAATTAGTGCATAAATCCCCAATGGAAGCAGCTAGTGTGAAAAGAAGGGTAGGAAGAAGTTACGAGTAGATCATCCTTTGAAGGGGTCAAGCTATGCCATGAAGGCGCCTATTCAGTCGGAATAGAGTCCTTTATCTATCTATCTATCTATCTATCTATCTATCTATCTATCTATATATTATGATTGTAGTGATCATAGTTCTTTTTATTATGCTGGTGTATGGATATATAAAACAAGGTCTTCCCCTGAGGCCTATTTGGACAGATGAACAGTAGGTGTATAAACGTGGATCAAAGAACTGAATGAACACGCTGCGTGTCACGTTGATGGATATCTCAAAGCAAAACAAGGTAAGAAAAAGCCAAGCAAAAGCAAATAGCGAGAAAAGAAGCAAGAAGCCGTATTGATCCCACTTGGCAAACTTTGAAGGGTATAACCGCTGATATCAATGGAAAATCGCAAGCACCTCCACAGGATCATGCATGCAGGAAGCTAATTCTTTCCGGAAATTATCCTCGTGTCTCTTCGTCTGGCGAATACGAAGCTTGGCAGATCGGGCACTTGTACCGACGATATTCAAACCAAGATTTCAGACAATCTAGATGGAAGGCATGCTTGCAGCGGTTCAGTACGAGAACCTTGCTATCGGGTGGGGAATGCTGTGCCCCGCAGCTGCAGCGGGGGTCTGGGCGTGTAGTCGGGTTATGATTATGCTGGCCGTGGGCCAGAACGGCTGGGTCGGGACAGGCCAGATATGGGGATGACGACAGTGCTGAGAGACAGATGGGGCTGGGCGAGTTAGCTTGATTCTAGAAGATTCAGACGATTTGTCTAGGATCGTTTGCGTGCTCTGCTATCTCTAGCCAAGACCACGTGTGTTTATCCAGGAACGAGGCGAATTGGCATTGGGGCGTGTTTCCAGGCGAAAATGCCTTGCCCAGAAACATGAACCCGCCTCAACGAAAAATCGCCGATCCCGATAGGGCGGAGGGACCGAGAGCCCAGCCCTAGTGTCCCCGCACTACATCATCGAGCCGCAGGGCCAAGAGGGTTGAGGGGAGGGGGCCGGAATCGGAGACCTGTGGAATGCTGAGAAATTACACTTACCAAGTATCTTGGCCGTATTGCTGGGCATTGGCAGGCACATTTTGTTCCTCCAACCATCGATCCACTGATACAGGTTGGCCCAACACGTTCTGCAACTGTACCTGATAGACCGGTGGGAGAACTCGGGTTTCGGCCATTGCCTGCATGGCCGTGCGTCGTCGGTGATGCCACATGATCATGCTGAATGGAAAATCATACAAATCAGTGATCGGCACGTCAGAAGTTCCAGAACGATTCGTATGCATGAAGCGCGCGGGGGAAGTTGCCAAGACTATCGTGCCTCCGTACTTACACCGGAATCATGCTGATCAGGGAAAACAGCGCAACGGCCCCAATCACAACCCCGATTATCTCCTCTCGCGGCATAGAATCGTCCGCCATGAGTGGAGGGTCATGTGGAATTTGGGTCCAAGCGAAGAAGATACGAGAAGAAAATAAAAATAAAGAATTGGAGTATCGCCCAATAGACCCAATAAAATGGAGGAATAGCGTAAGGTGAGACAGTGCAACCTAGATCGGATCACTCGGGTCAATTATGTATTCAGGCACCGTGTCCCCAATAATAATTGATGGCCCATTATTTGAGGCAACAAAACAAGTGTAAATCGGGGGTTTTTTGCCACATAAGAGTAGAAAATGGCCCCGGAGAAGTAGGTGGATTTGAGGCGGAGGAACCCTCGAGCCCCGAAATGCCAAGGAATTCCAAGAGCCAAGAGCCAAGATGCCCAGAGGTGGGAAATAAATCAGGGAGACAGAAGGCGACGACCAGTCCAGCCAAGGGAATGCCAAGAATACTCCGCACCAATCATAATAGTAGGATTGTGGCGTGGGGGACAGGCCGAGGCGTGCCCAGAGTCGTTTGCGTCATCGTCTGAATGGGGAAAGTCAGTATTATGCGCCAAGAAGAGTCCGCTTAATATCGAGATCTGGTAGATGAAGCTTATTGGCTGTCAGAACATCATTATGCTGGTTCCCCGGACGTCGGACACGATTTCCATCAGATTATTTCCGGTCGTAGCAGCCGGTTATCTTTCGCCATCGTCTGACATTCTGATCTGATCCTATTTATACTTTGAGACATCCCCCCGGAAGAAAAGAAAAAGAAGGTTGTTTCATAGAAGTGTGCCTATTACTCAAAGATTGTATGGACTCTCATTTTCTTACAGAAACCTTCTATAAGCTTCCCCCATAAGAGCCTCATAGAAGTACATCTTTCACTCAATTCACTGAATTCACTCAATCCACTCAAGTCGCTCAACTAGAGAAACACTCTTACCATTCGCGAAATCGCGTGATGTCTCAGGAAGCCCAAAAAGGCTCTGGCTCTGACAGCCCTGCTGATATTACACAACAACCTCTCTCCCAGCCCGCCCATAGTCTCTCCTTCGAAGACGTCATCAGCGAACTCCAGACTAATTCTGACGATGGTCTAACAACTGCCGAGGTCAAGCAGCGCCTTGAGAAATATGGCGAGAATATACTTGAAGGAGACGAAGGCGTCTCCTTGGCGAAGATCGTCATTCGACAGATCGCCAACGCCATGATGCTGGTAAGTCAGAAGCCGGAAAACTCCGTTAAAGATTAATTGCTAAAAGTTCGTAGGTCCTCATTATCGCTATGGCCGTTAGTTTCGGTATTCAGTCCTGGATCGAAGGAGGTTTCATCGCCGCCGTCATCGCTCTGAACATCGTTGTTGGTGTCTACCAGGATTATGCCGCGGAGAAGACCATGGATTCTTTGCGATCGCTCAGCTCTCCCACTGGTGTAGTCTCTCGCGATGGCAAGACAGCAACCGTCCCCGCAAACGAGATCGTCCCTGGTGATATGGTCGAATTGAAAGTAGGAGACACTGTTCCTGCTGATGTCAGGTATGTACCACAACCCCGCACAGAATAGACCAGGACCCCCCATCTAACTCCTTCACAGACTTGTTGAAGCATTTAACTTTGAAACCGACGAAGCACTGCTAACCGGCGAGTCCCTCCCGGTTCAGAAAGACGCAGAGAGCACATTCGAGATCGATACCGGCCCAGGTGACAGACTGAACATCGCCTACAGCTCGTCAACCGTGACCCGGGGACGTGCTCGCGGTGTCGTCGTGGGAACCGGAATGAAAACTGAGATTGGAGCTATTGCTCAAGCCCTCCGTGGAACTGACTCGAAGCGTCGTCCTGTTAAGCGTGGACCTGAAGGCGAGACAAAGAAGAGATGGTATATCCAAGCTTGGACATTGACAACTACTGATGCCATTGGCCGATTCTTGGGTACCAACGTTGGTACACCTTTGCAGCGGAAGCTGTCTAAGCTGGCGCTTCTGCTCTTTGCCATTGCTGTCGTTTTTGCAATTGTCGTCGCTGCATCAAATAACTGGCGCGGTGATAGCGAGGTTATTATTTATGCAGTCGCGACTGGTCTGGCTATGATTCCTGCTTGTTTGGTGGTTGTGTTGACAATCACTATGGCTGTCGGAACGAAACAGATGGTCCAGCGACATGTCATTGTCCGCAAGCTGGATTCCCTCGAGGCCCTCGGCGCTGTCACCAATATCTGCTCAGACAAGACTGGTACTCTGACACAAGGCCGCATGGTCGCGAAGAGGGCTTGGCTTCCATCCCTGGGAACTTACTCAGTTGGTGCTTCGAATGAACCTCTCAACCCTCAAGACGGTGATCTGAGCTTGATGGCTGAGCCCCCGGTCAAACTGGGTGCGGAGAATCTAGGCGATGTAGCATCGCCAGATGACTTGTTGAAAGACAATGATACACTCAAGGACTTCCTAAATGTTGCTGCTATGGCCAACCTGGCCCATCTCCACCAAAGTGCCACTGAGGGATGGCAGGCTCGTGGCGAACCCACCGACATTGCCATTCAGGTTTTCGCTTCTCGGTTTAACTGGGGTCTGGATCGCTGGACAAAGGGCGACAAGCCGATCTGGCAACAACAGGCCGAGTATCCATTCGACTCAAGCGTGAAGAAAATGTCTGTTATTTTCTCAAAGCGCGACGACAACTCGGAGAAGAGTCGCGAAATGATTTTCACTAAGGGCGCTGTCGAACGTGTTCTCGAGGCGTGCACTACCATTAAATGGAATCCCAACTCTGAACCAGTTCCTATCAACGATGAAATGCGCGATGAAATCCTGCAGAACATGGAGGCTTTGGCTAAAGAGGGCCTTCGTGTGCTCGCTATGGCCGGTCGCGAGAACACCTCTCCCGCAAAAGAGGGTGATGACCCTCTTCCCCGCGACGAGGTTGAGAAGGACTTGTCTTTCTACGGTTTGATCGGTCTCTATGACCCCCCTCGCCCCGAGACGGCTGGAGCTATTGCCCTCTGCTACAAGGCTGGAATCTCAGTGCACATGGTTACTGGTGACCACCCCGGTACTGCGCGTGCGATCGCCGCACAAGTCGGAATTATTCCTGCGAATATGGATATGATCGCCAAGGACGTTGCTGATGCTATGGTCATGACGGCTTCCCAGTTCGACAAATTGACTGAAGACGAGATTGACGAACTTCCCACCCTTCCTTTGGTTATTGCTCGCTGTGCGCCTAATACAAAAGTCCGCATGATTGATGCGCTGCACCGCCGTGGACGCTTCGTGGCTATGACCGGTGACGGAGTTAACGACTCCCCTTCCCTTAAGCGGGCTGATGTCGGTATCGCTATGGGTCAGAATGGTTCTGACGTGGCCAAGGATGCTTCCGAACTGGTGCTATCTGATGATAACTTCGCGTCTATCATCAACGGCATTGAGGAAGGTCGTCGCATTTTCGATAACATCCAGAAATTCGTTCTGCATCTTCTTGCGGAAAATGTCGCTTTGGCTTTGACCTTGCTTATTGGATTGGCCTTCAAGGATGACAGCAACCAGTCTGTCTTCCCTATTTCCCCCGTCGAGATCATCTGGATTATCATGGTTACCTCTGGTCTCCCTGATATGGGACTGGGAATGGAAATCGCCGCTCCAGAAGTCATGGACCGGCCACCGCAAAGCGTAAGTCTCCCTAAACATCTTCCCTTACAATTCAAATTACTAACAAATCACAGAAACAAGGTATCTTCACCTGGGAAATCATCATCGACACCCTCGTCTACGGAGTCTGGATGGCCGCCCTCTGTCTGTCAGCATTCTCTCTCGTCATGTTCCGATGGGGCAACGGCGATCTCGCCCAGGGCTGCAACACACATTACAACGACCCCAACAAACCCTATGACTGTGACACAGTTTTCCGCGCCCGCGCCACTACCTTTACCTGCATGACCTGGTTCGCCCTCTTCCTTGCCTGGGAGATGATGCACCTGCGCCGCAGCTTCTTCCAGATGCAGCCCAACTCGAAGAAAGTCTTTACCCAGTGGATGTATGATATCTGGCGCAACAAGTTCCTCTTCTTTGGCATCATGACTGGTTTCGTTCTTGCCTTCCCTATTATCTACATCCCGGTTATCAACCACAGTGTGTTCAAACACAGCAGTATCTCCTGGGAGTGGGCTATTGTCTTTGTTGAGACAGTGCTTTTCTTCCTTGGCATTGAGAGCTGGAAATGGTGCAAGCGTGTTTACTTCCGTCGCCAGGACCGAAAGGCCGCGGCTCGGGGTGATCAGCCTGGTGGTGACCGTCGGGATATGAGAGATTTCAGTCGCTATACTACTATGGACCGTTCGGATACTCAGGCCAGTGAAATGAAGGTGGAGCAGTCTATGGTTTAGATGTCGAATAAACTATAACCCTCAAATAGCAGAGGATTTTAAATCAATACAAATAGATGCACGTTTACAACATAAATGCTTATCAAACCGTAAACTAGCTGTTTTAACATTGATATAATACATCCATCAGCTGGACCGAATCCACATATTATCCATCACCCCATATTTATCTACAGTTTCACCAGGGTGATCCCTCTAGTAGCAGTGTGCGAAATGCTGTCCGGTTCGAAAATCACACAATGATAACCACCAAAATATGAGCTATTTCTTCGTCGCCCATAAAGAGAGTGCAGTTCAGTAGAAGCTGAGTACCCAAACCTTAGGACGTGTTGTTCCCTGTCAACGTCTACTCATCGTCATCCTCAACCGACTTCCTCTTCCTCATCTTCAGCCCCCTCGCATAATTCATCGTCCGTATTGCACATCTCGTAAAACAACTGCACCCATCTTTCATTTTCCTTATTGCAATCATCATTACTAGACTCGTGGATAGTGAGTTTCTGCAGCTGAGACTCCACATTTTCCGGTAAGGTTGATCTGAAATTGAAATCAATCTTCCCAGGAACTGGCTGACGATCCCAGAATGAAGCACAAGGAGAAATTCCGCAGTGTTTGCACGACCACCAAGGATAGCCAGGTTTAAGGGATACTAGCTATACGGTCTCGGCGTAGTTCGCATATCCGCTTCAAGGATCAGTTGACAACCAGGGACCTTTTCCATGCTTGCATGCTCATGATAACGCCGAGCTTTCATGGTTCGAAACATTTTGCTTATAAAGGGGTTTCTCAAGCACTGAATATGTACGACCATTGATGCATCCCAAGGTAGAGATTGAGGGCGTCTCTGATCATGGGAATTACCTAGGTAGATAGGTTCTCGAAAGCTATGCAGTTTATATAATTAGAAACCAAACCGAGAGTCATCCAGGGGGCTATTACTAACGCCACACTTGTGTTTTTCCCTTTCGCTTTGTTTGCTGCTAGGGCCCGGCTATCAGAGTGAGCTGAGTGTTTCGGCTTGATTTTATCATGAGGTATATGTACGTATATATAATAAACAGAGAGCTAGTGATGTGGCTACGCGTTAACCTAAAACATATAGATCGGAATTTGAAGCCTAGAGTCACAACTAAGCCATCGATGGCTGTATATATTAGGTGAGGTGCGGTATATACAGCTGTTCGTGGCGAGGAAGTTGGATATATTATATAGAGAGCTTCAACGGAAATGGAAAGTGCCTGAGGACTGAATACTACCAAGGAGGGGAGGAAGTAGAAGAATAATCATGATCTATTCATAAATAGCAATGCAGGGTTTATATACCCTGCTAAAACCATCCGAACAAAGCTCAGTCTGCTAGCAAACATGCATACATGGGATACTACAACGGAAAGGCAAACCAAAGGGACAAAATTCATATGCAGACTGGACACCAAAAGCGTGTTTCAGCAGGCTGGAATAATGAAAGGATGAAGAGTAAAAAAAAAGCGCGTCTTGCCAGTTACTTCCTGCATAGCCAACCTCAGTCTTTCCCAATCATGATGAGAACATTGGTCAGCATCACTTCATTGGCGGTTTGGAGGATAAGTGAAGTGTATAAGCAAAAGAAAATGCACCGCTAAACAGGCAATATAAAAAATCCGTAGTATGTCACGGCGTTATAAAATCCGGACCTCCTTTGAGAGCCTCAAATATGAATATGATAGTTGAACCAGTGTCCCCGCCTAGAAACGGAAACAATAGGAGCAGAGTAGCATAGATGACACCAAAGCCTATATAAGATCTCGCTACATTCTAGCAAATATTCGATTATCGGGGTTCGCTATTTCCGATGCCACGTCCGTCACAAGGAAAGTCTCATATGCACTCCAGGGCATCCTTTGCGCGCGAGTTCATGAGAAGGGCGACGATTAGACCGTACAGACCTGGTTCACATATTAACTTCTATGTATTTTCAGAAGGTATACTCTTGTTCTTACCAAGAACTTCAGCGAAGATGAGTATTAGAATCATGCCGACATACAGTTTTGGCTGCTGAGCTGTTCCACGAACTCCGGCATCACCGACGACGCCAATAGCGAAACTGAAATCAAGAAAAAAGGGCCAACTTAGCTATGTTTTGGCACTCATTTGTTACACAACTTACCCGGATGCTAAGCCGGCAAGGCCGACGGAGAGACCCGTAAAGAACTGCACCAAGCCTGTATATAAGGGGAGATTCTGTTTCAGATCGTTTGCCACAAGAACGGAAACGACTAAGCCGTAGATCGCGATAATGCCAGCCATCACAACCGGAACTATGTCTATTGAACCATGCCTGGATTAGCGTCGCAATATCAAGTAATGAAAACGACTCATCTTGAACGGGGAAACTCCTTTGTAAACTGTTCCTGCATTCAGATGTGACATACTCTTTACAATCAAGTCGGGCCGCAAGACAGCAGTCGTGCAAACGCCCACACCGGCCTTAGCAGTTCCGTAGGCAGCACCGAAGCAAGTGAAGACAATTGCGACGACGCAGCCCATAGCCCCAAAGAATGGCTGGAGGTCTCAAAGTTAGCCACTTGAATCAAGGCAGCGAGTTTAGACATAGCGAAGGACAAGGGACATGAGCTGTGATTGATGCTTGGGTCGTCATGTTTGAAGGACACAGAAGGAAGGGCAAACTCACGGCATATACAGGACTGAGAGAAGATTCAGTGAGTATGGATTAGATGCATGACATTAGAAATGGAGAGAGACAGATTGCAATGAATGAGATTAGATGAAATGCGCGGGGTCCACGAGCTTTGCTTACCAGAACTCAGAAACCATTTTGCTGATTGATTTGGCTATTTGAGCTATTGACCGCTTGAAGTGGAAATATAAAAAGAGGTGTGAGAAGACTAGAGCACAATCTTATGGATGTTATTGACGTTGCAAGTAACTGAGAGAAGAGACTCACAAGACTGAAAGAATTGAAAGAATTTCTCAAGACATGTCTGCCTGGGCGGGGGTTATCATGTTGTCAGGTTATCAGGCGAGTTTTGCTTACTAGATCCTAGTAGATTTTTGATGAATGTGTCTAGCTAGGCAGCTACGAGAGGTCAAAGGTACAAGGGGGCCAACCTATCAGGTTGTTAAGGGTTTTCTCCTAGACGCAACTAGTCGTGACTAGTACTAGTATATTAGATCCTAGTAAAATCCTCCGAACAAAAATGGTATTCATTGTTATCTATTATTTATTATCACTCATCTAATAGGCGAAAACATAAAGTACGTGTATTGAGCCATGTATATAGTGGTATCTATTGTTAGCTACTACCTACGATGGGAAAGAAATTATGATGTTTTGGGCCCGAGCAATTTTTTTTCTTTTTGGTAACCTGTGGATCTCATAATTCGTCCCCTTTCCCTTTAAAGGGAGTTGCCAACAGCAGATTGAACTCCCGAGAGACAAGTGACAGGACATATCGAAAAGAAACTGACGACCTCCCAAGATTATCGTATACGAGTTTCATATTACCGAAGGAATCCCTAGGTACCTTTCAAAAGGAAGCCTGTAGGTTAACAAAATGCCTTCAATTAACCAGGTAACTATGTATGTTGCTATAACGTTATACCTAGACCAGATTGAGGACTCTAAGATAATATGTATGGGAATCAGAGCACACTGGGTTCAAGTGCTTTAAGCTAAATTTTGCTAGGAGACAATCTCCATGGAAATACAAAGCCCAAAGAACCTCAAGCTTTCATAATTTTGACGCATTTCTATGACTTTGATCGAGCCACGACTGGATCATTCGCGTCAAACCATCGATCTCTCCCTCACTGTTTCCTGCATGCAAGCACACTCGCACCCGTTCCTTTCCCTCGGGAATTGTCGGTGGCATAATAGCTCGAACGATAAATCCGTTTTCCTGGCAGAGGCTCGCCAGCTGCCGTGGCTGCGATGTGCGAAGGGAGATAATGGGAGATGTGGGGAAGTGGTCGACTTCGAACATAACTGATTGATATGTACGGAGGCCATCGAGCTGTTGTCGGAGATGGCGGATCAACTCCTGAAGCCGGCGTTGCAACTGTGATCCAGTTAGTTGTTGGTACAAGAAGAGTCTCGAGAGGAAGTCGACTCACTAATTCAGTTTCACCGGATGATAGGAGCTCATATGCTGCGCGAATCGATGCCAGGAAGGGGAATCCTAGAGCGGTGGTATAGATCAAACTCCGGGCGTAGTTGATCAGATAATCCCTTGTCTCTGGCCCGCAGAGAACCATGGCTGGGTAAACGTTAGTCGGGTATTTCCAGGGCCGAGCAAACCAGACAAGACAACATACCTCCGTGACTTGCTAGTGCCTTGCCGAAGGTGTGCACTCGGATAAACATGCGATCCTGAACACCGAGTTCCTGAACCACCCCAGCACCCCGCGGTCCAAACACACCTGTCGCATGCGCTTCATCGACATAGAAATATCCATTGCCGTGGGGTAATAGTTCGTCAACAACTGCGATAAACTCCTTGATGGGAGCAACATCGCCGTCCATGCTGTAGATAGACTCAATGAGCACGAAGACATTGCGCGCACCTTCCGCAATTGCTGGATCTTCGGCTATTTGTGACTGCAGAGCCTCTCTCAAGCCAATGGGCGAACTGTGGGCAAACATCTTCCGAGGACCAGCTCGCGACAGACGCATGCCTTCATGGGCACTTGCGTGGATGAGCTCATCGTACAAAATCACATCGCCTGGCTGAGGAATACTGGATAGTACGCCAACATTGGCATCGTATCCGGAGTTGAATAGAAGTGCTGTCGGGGCTTGGTGGAATTCCGCGACAAAGTTTTCGAGTTCTTCCGCATAAGCCGAATTCCCGTCTAATAGCCGAGAACCTCCGCTGGCAAGGGGAAATGATGGCGGTGTGTTATTCAAAAGTGCTAAAAATCGTTCCCGGTATGCAGAAGACGTGGACAGTGACAGGAAGTCATTAGAGGAGAAATCCACAGCTGTCCGGGGTAAAACGGTCAGCCTCCGACGGGCAGATTTGGCTTCTCGGCGCGACAATGTGGCAGAGAGTGTATCAATGAGGGTTTTGGGCGCTGAGCTTGAGCCCGATGTGCTCGATGGTTTGGGTTGGGATGCAACCATATTGATTTTCACGATCACTGACGTCAATTCCCCTGATGATCTTGATTCTGTTCCTGAAGGGTTTATGCACGGATCATTCACTTAATTTTTTTTAGTTTCGAATATTGTTGATTGTTGATTGTTGAGATTGACACAGATCTTATTCCCCAAAGTCAAGAAGTTTAAGTCGTTGAGTCACCCAACAAGAGAGTCCGGTGAATTGCAGAAAATGTGGGGATTTTGGCGTGGAGTCGGAAACTCACAGGACTCTCTCCTTTCTACCGAGGTCTGTTTTTGGACTGACTCACTTCACTTCATTTCATACCATGCCTCCTGTCGGTGCAGCGCTCTGGCGCAGTTTAAGAGCCCACCAAGTCTATGGGGCTAACACGGACGTGGGGAAGACAATTGTCTCCACGGTGTTGTGTAATGCCGTTCAACGTCAGAAACAGCGGGCCGCATTCCTCAAGCCCGTGTCAACAGGGGCATTGGATGATGCCGACGATAGGTAGGCGAATTTGAAAACATAATTTAATTGAATTTAATTCCGTTCAATCGCTCACGATTGTAGGCACTTGCAACGTTACGGCGCCGGAACGCTCACCAAATGTCTCTACCAATTCGATGACCCAGTGAGCCCGCATTTGGCAGCTAAAGATAAATTTGTAAGTGCCCATTGTCCTAATTAGAACACACGAAGCTCATCGCGCAGATTCCGCGAGATGATGATCTCCTCGCATCCATACATAACACCCTGTCCGGCTGGGCACGGTCGGACATTGACTTCGCCCTTGTTGAGACTGCCGGGGGTGTACATTCCCCGGGCCCCAATGGCAATTCACAGGCAGACTTATATCGACCACTTCGGCTGCCAATTGTGCTGGTGGCAGATTCTCGTCTAGGGGGATCTCTTCTTCGATCTCTGCTTACGAGTCGTTGCTCCTCCGTGGCTATGACATCTCGTCGGTTCTCTTGTTCCGAGATGAGTACTACCAAAATCACGAATACCTGCGTGATTATTTCCAGAAAAAAAGCATTCCATTGGTGTCGCTACCGGCACCTCCCGTCCGACCATCGCAGCTGGATGCCGACTCCCAGTTAAGGGACGAGGAGGCCATGCTCAGCTATTACCAAAACTCCGCAAAGGAGTCGGAGGTCCTCCGACTTCTTGAAGAGATGTCTGTCAACAATACCGAGCGCGTCCAGCGCTTGGAAGAGATGGCCGACCGGGCGCAAGAGCTGATATGGTACCCCTTCACCCAACACCAAGGCATGAAGGCGAAGGACATTACCGTTATTGACTCAGCGCATGATGATTACTTCCAAACATTCGGCCCCAACACATCGAAAGATACCCAAAGTGAACTGCGCCCGACATTCGACGGATCTGCGTCTTGGTGGACGCAAGGCTTGGGCCACGGTAACCCCGAGCTGTCGCTATCTGCTGCCTATGCCGCCGGTCGGTACGGACACGTCATGTTCGCAGGAGCTGTCCATGAGCCAGCACTGTCGCTTGCGGACACTTTACTGAAAACTATCGAAAACCCGAGGCTCACTAAGGTCTTCTACACAGACAATGGAAGCACGGGGATGGAAGTTGCTGTGAAGATGGGTCTACGCGCTTCTTGCGACCGGTACGGCTGGGATGCGAGCCAGGAGCAGATTGGCATTCTTGGACTGAAGGGTAGCTACCACGGTGACACTATCGGTGTGATGGATTGTTCGGAGCCTTCAACCTTCAATAAGAAGGTGGAGTGGTATCGAGGTCGTGGGCACTGGTTTGACTTCCCTCTTGTCAAGATGGTTGGCGGATCTTGGAAAGTTGAGATACCCAGTGAGCTGCAGGCAGAACTCGGCGAGGATGTTGATTTCGCTTCATTGGGGTCAGTCTTTGACCTCGGCCAGCGTCTTGAGTCTGCCACTGCCCAGCGCTATAAGGACTACATCCATCGCACTATTGAGGATCTGGTCCACCGTCAAGGAGTGAAATTCGGTGCATTGATCCTGGAACCTGTAATCCTCGGTGCGGGTGGAATGCTTTTCTGGTAGGAAACCCAGTAGCGCAATTGTTTATTTATAGACGAACTAACCATCTTCTAGTGATCCCCTCTTCCAGAGATGCCTGACCGATGTAGTCCGCGACCACCCAGAGCTGTTCTCCACTAACGCTTCCGCTCCCAAACAATCTCTGTCATGGTCGGGCCTGCCAGTCATCTTCGACGAGGTTTTCACCGGGCTGTACCGTCTCGGTCGCCCCACATCCGCATCTTTCTTAGGTGTGCATCCCGACGTCGCCGTAAACGCTAAACTCCTCACGGGCGGGCTGGTACCGCTCTGCACGACTGTCGCTAGCGAGGAAATCTTTGATGCTTTCTCGAGTCCCGAGAAGAGCGATGCCCTGCTTCATGGTCACAGTTACACCGCCCATGCCGTTGGATGTACGGTCGCTGTTGACTCCTTGAAGACAATGGCTAAACTTGATACTGATGGATCGTGGGATTCATTCCGCGCTGGATGGCGTAACAGCTCGCCTACTACTACTGAAGCTTCAACTCCGGATGTGTGGAGTGTTTGGTCGCATAGTCTCCTTCAGGACCTATCTTCCACGGAGTCGGTGGGGAGCGTATTTGCTATTGGAACTGTGCTTAGTATTTCGTTGCGTGATGCAGCTGGTGGGGGTATGTTCTTCAGACTCAAGAAACCTGATAAATTAACAAAGCTAACAATATCGCAGGGTACACCTCCAATGCTGCAAAGGGACTACAGCAGAAGCTTGCTGTTGGCGGTGATCAGTTCAACGTTCACTCGCGCGTCCTTGGCAATGTTCTTTACCTAATGTCCAGTGTGACTTCCAAACCTGAGTCCCTCCAAGAGATGGAGCGTCTCCTCCGATTGGCATTAGTGTAAGTTAGATAAGAATACGGATATACCGACATGACAATTGAATATTTGAGCGCATGCTCTTGTACACATCACCTTCAACTATGAGGGCATCCGAATGGACTCAAATTATCAGCGACATATTTTCAAATCCCTTTCATAACAAATGGAGTTTAGCAAATGACAGCTGTACTCTCTATAGACGAAATATCAACTCATCACCCATGCACCTTGACTAGTCGTAGTCAGGCTAGACCCTTTTAGAACTCAATGATGTGTGACAGAGAGATATATATCATGACCACTAGAGACAGCTAATTCTAGGGACTTTGTTGGCGTTCCCTATAAAATAGTATATTGTATAGACCTACGATGCATGTTGTCATCAGAACAGGTTGTCAGTTCCAGACCTGATGTACTTTCACGGGCCACGACACTGTCTTCCAAGTCAGGGAAGTGGAATCTCGATGTCGTGACAACCCTTACTACCCCACCGAAACGGGATGCGGTTATGCTACCTGCGTATGGGCCACTGCTCATTCCGTTCACGGAAGATTCCGGTCCTTGGTTTGTCATACCAAGGAGCCTACTAAGAGGAAATTTGTGCAGTAGTGTGGTGAGATCAACACTTTCATTAACTATGTTACATGACAGACCCCACGAAAACCCCGAGAGGTGGAGTGCTTTTGGGGATGGGCTGGATGCGGAGAAGCATTATTCGCGGATTTAAACTTTGACTTACGTTCGAATTGCTTCCAACCCGGGGCCGTCCGGGGGAAGTTGGAGATACAGAGGTCAGAATGTGGAGGGAGGCACAGATATTCTAGCAGCTCTTTGGGTTTGTGATATGCATATATCTATGTACAGATCATAGATTGTCCGGATTAGGAAGGTGTCATCTAATTATTTATAACCAGCTTGGTCATTCCAAGTATGTGGTCAACGGACTGTGTAGGAACGGAATACCCAGATCTGAACTACCAAATACTACCTAGCCCCGGGAGTACTGCGAAGTGTACTCCGTAGTGTACCTGCCCTAACTTTTAGGGCCACATTAACCTTCGGATAAGCGGCCTAACAAAATTGCCGAACCATGAATGTCTGCCTGGATGAAACCTTGGAATTGGCAAGGCTTGACTAAAATTAATTTTTTCTTTTTGGTGGCAAAAGCGCTTCTGAGACCCACGGTCCTTCTATGCATATTGGACTTTTTTCCACTGGATCCTACCTAGGTAATTGATTTGCTACCCCTTGCGTACTGAGTACAATCTCCAATATACCTACGTAGTATCCGTACACCGTTCATTCATATTAACAATATCGGAGATAATGAAAGAGAGAAATCCTTAAAGGAGTGCAAATCTTGGCATTTAGTAACAGCTTGAAACCAGTGAGATTCGGGATTGGCTCAGCATCGGAATAAGCGGCTACCATCGGCCAGCCACGCGAGTCCGGCGATTCTTGTTAGATAATAGAATTCCGAGCCGAGTCTGTGATTGGCCAAATATCGAAACAGCGGGTCACTGTAACTCCACTTGCAGCCCGGAAGTGGACCCACCTACGCTTAATTTCTATGGATGATCATAACTTGGCATCAAAGCTTTGCATTTTCTTTTAATCTGAGCCGCAAGATTAGTGAAAACATAATGTGAATAGGCAATAGAAATTGAATGGAAACTGATAAGCCCTGATCCATCCCTTCCAGAAGATCCGGGCCCCAGAATTATGCCCTCCAACTCTCCATACAAGTGAAGCTGGGGTTGTCTTAGTTAACGTTGAGGAAAGCTCCACCTCTTGGCTCGAGAATTTTTTTCCTTTTGCACACGTACAAGGGTTCTTTTCTTCCTTTACTTCTCTTCTCTGTCTCCGTTTACATCCCTTCCCTGTCGGTCTATACGCGTTCGACATCATGATTCACGATGGAGTGACACCCTACCAGGAGGCGACTGACTCGGAGTCGGGATATAACGAGAAGAAGACGTTGGAGGATCAGAACCCACAGTATCAAGATGCCTTTGGAAATGAGGAGGGTGCTGAGGTTAAATATAAAACTATGAAGTGGTGGTAAGTTCATGCTATGAAGCAACAACCTGCAAGAATATGTGCTAATTCTGTGATAGGCAAACGGGAATGTGTAAGTCGCTAGCATACGTGCATAATGACAACTGTTGATCAGTTGATCAATTACTATGAACCAACTCTGACCATTATTTAGTTATGATTGCCGAATCTGTCTCTCTGGGTGTCTTGTCCCTTCCCAAGACCCTCGCCCAGCTAGGCCTCGCCCCAGCTATCGTCCTCATCATCGGACTGGGCCTTCTCGCAACCTACACCGGATACACAATTCATCAATTCCGCGCCCGATACCCCCACATCCAGAACTTGGCCGACGCTGGTGAGGTCTTGTTCGGTGCTTTTGGACGTGAGCTGTTCGGCCTCGGCCAGCTGCTCTTCTCGATTTTCATTATGGGTTCTCACATCTTGACTTTCAGTGTCATGATGAACACCGTTACAGAACATGGAACTTGCACCATGGTTTTCACTGCCGTCGGATTCCTCATCTGCTTCGTCTGCTCTCTGCCCCGTACCATGAAGAACATGACCTACATTTCGTGCCTGTGTATGTACCATCGAACTCCGCCGGGACTTGGAAGAATAATCGCTAATTGTCATATATAGCCTTCGCTAGTATTGTTACTGCTGTTATCATCACCATGATCGCAGTCGGTGTGCAGAACCAGGGTGGTCAGAACCTCAAGGCTACCATCGACACCGATCTGGTCCAGGCCTTCAGCGCTGTCACCAACATCGTCTTTGCCTACTGCGCCCACGTGGCCTTCTTTGGTCTGATCGCCGAGATGGAGGAACCTAGGGATTTCCCCAAGGCTCTGATCATGCTGCAGACCTTTGAAATTATCTTCTACACCGTTGCTGCAGTTGTGATCTACTACTATGTCGGCCAGGAAGTCACATCTCCCGCCCTTGGATCTGCGGGCCCTATTCTGAAGAAGGTTGCTTACGGAATTGCCATCCCAACTGTACGTTTTCCTTCCCATTCTATCTACTCTTCGGCTGCTAACACCCTCATAGATTATCGGTGCTGGTGTCGTCAACGGCCACATCGGTCTTAAGTACATCTACGTCCGCCTGTACCGTGGCACTGACCGCATGCACAAGCGTGACATGCTTGCTGTTGGCTCCTGGATTGGCATTGCTCTTGCTTGCTGGGTTATTGCATGGATCATTGCCGATGCCATTCCCGTCTTCAGTGATTTGCTGAGTCTGATTAGCTCACTGTTCGCTAGTTGGTTCAGTTACGGCCTTGGTGGTATGTACTGGTTGCACATCAACAAGGGCAAGTGGTTCTCCTCTCCTCGGAAGATTGTACTCACTATTGTGAATGTGTGCATTGTTCTGATTGGTGGTTGCATGTGTGGTCTTGGCCTTTACGTTTCCGGCAAGGCTATTCATGACGACGCCTCCAGCAACAGCTTCTCTTGCGCTAACAATGCCGTGGTTTAAGCTTGTTGTTCGTATATAAAATGTTTTCACGGATACTTTGTTGCTGGGCGATATCATTTGATTTGGTTATATAGAATTTAGACTTATGCACATACATTCAGCATTGAACTACGTTTTCAGCGTATTGTTGTTATTTATGACGAAGTACCTAATAATAGATTCATTATAGATTCAGATAAAAAGGTAAAGAACGGTATTATTGGTACCAACCAAAAAAAGAGAAACATTTGAAGCGAGGTCCTAGAAAGGTCCACTACCTAAAGCGGTCTCGATCGGTCATTTGAGGCCGTCGATTTCCCAAATTCCACGCCATCTGCATTCTCCGCTTGGTGGAATAAATCATGATCACCTCTCGACAGAAATAAACATGCACAGAAACTCAGCTTGACGTTCTCGTGATATAGTCTTGTTTGGCAGCTAGACTACTACGGAGTGATTCGAGGAACCTTTCTTTAAACTTGACTTTGTAGATTATATAAATAGAGAGAAATGGTACTACACCACTTCGTAATACTGAGTATGTGATCATATTGCCAAGACCCTTGAGTCCGGTTGATATTGTATTGATTCATGAAAGAAACATTATTAATTTCTTGACAGTGGGTTAATCGCCTCTTCTTTCCGACTCTCATATCGCTGGTATTCTGGTCGGAATCCCACATTGCGCTTCTCTCAAGAAACGTAGAAGGTAAGGTTTCCGATGATATCCGTACAGTTTCTTCCGATCAGGACAACAAACTGAGCCGGCTCCACAACATACTTCATCTTTCTATTCCACAGTCCAATATCTTGAACTGAGACTGGAGTCTTGATGTTAGATGTCCAACCAGTTTTGACGCGAATTTTCTTGAACCTCTTGAGCTTGTGACTAGGCACATCGATACTCGCAATGCTGTCGACAATGTACAGCTGCACAACATCTGTTCCATCCACAGGGCTGGTATTGGTTACCTTCACGCTGGCCGTAACTGTGTCATTGATTGTGGCATTCGCTTTATCCAGGGATACCAACGAATACTCAAAAGTCGAGTATGACTTGCCGTGTCCGAAAGGATACCACGGTTGCGGTGTGCCGATCACGTATTGATGTCCGAAAACAATGCTCCCATTAGCATTGATGTGTCCTGAATCCCCAATCGCGCAATCTGAGCTGAGATAGTTATAGCACACCGGGAGAAACCCAATATCGTACGGGAAGTTCACAGGTAGTCGACCAGAAGGATTGTAGTCACGGAAGAGGATGTCGGCCAGAGCATTTCCGCCTTCTTCAGATGGGTAGAACTGTTGCACTAAGGCACTAGTGCTATTGGCAATCCAGGGCTCTATAATCGGTTTACCCGAAGAAAGGACCAAAAGTTCCTCGGAGAGATATGGATCTTCGGTGAAGCCTTCCTCCACCCGTGTCTTGTTATGTTTGTTAACATTCCGCCGATTCGCTTAGTCCTGGGGTGGATAACCCACCCTTCCATATCGCAATTCTCAGGCAACGTCGGAAACTGGCGCAAATACCTGGTTGGCACCCATAGCAGCAGATTCCTGAGCGACAACATGAGCCATTTTCTCGACCAGCTTTCATGATGTCAGCAAAGGGAATCTCCAAGAGAATGGTAGATGTATTCTAGGATCCCAAGCGCTAGCGTATCCAATGGGAGAGTCGAAGATCGTAGCATTGACCAGCAGAAATCCGCGAATACCTGAGTCGGTGTGAGTATGAGCTTGGTCCATCAATAGTTGCGCTATGGCGGACCTTGAGTCTTGTTGAAGAGATAGTCTTGACCCCTTTGGATATTTTCACTGATCCATGATCCAGGTGATGGGTATCCAACTATGGAGCGAAAAAGTGGTCAGTGTTAACTTGAAAACTAGGAGGACAGCGATCTAGAGTAGAAACTTCCGGCTTTAAGAGCCATGTTCTCAACAAGGCCGCGCTCATTGAACGCGCCAGTGGTTGGGTTTATCCAGTTCGCAATATCACGTGTATTACTATTAAGTCAGTCCCATATTCTCCAGTTGTAATGACGCAGAAAGATTCCGTATATTTCTGTTTTACAGAACCTTGAATTAACTGGGCCGCTTCATCTTCAACGGTCATCCGGGAGAGTAGATCAGAAACTCTCTCTTCTATTGGAAGTGACGCATCCTTGTAGTTTACCTGCCGAGGCGAGACTGCTGCAGATGCCGCAGCCAAGCCTAAGACAGTAAGGAGGGGGAAAACCACCATAATGACGAGTTAACATAGCAGCGAAGGATTGGATGGTTCAACCCAAGGCTAACGTGCTCACACAATTGACTCGCACAAGTACCTTATATATACACTATTCTCATGTTGGCTCTAATATATGTGACGCTAAGTTCTCCACTCCCAAGTCTATCGTAAAACTATCCATCCACTCACCATTGGTAGGCAAAATGATGCAATGGTTTACAACTGCACGTTATGTTCTGGATAAATAATTCAATATCTATGTGGTGGGGAACACGTAGGACAGGACGGCAAGAAATTAGGCTGATACAGAGTATGTTGTAATCTCCAAACTAAACATTCACGTCACTATCCCATTGCAATTATCAATGCCTAACAGCCAATCTGAAAGTCTTGGAATATGTATGTTGTATGTTGTATACAGGACGGATAAAATTGGATAAAGTGCCAGTGGAACCTTGTAGATCCCAAGCTAATCTCCACTTTCCGTCGTGGAGACGGGAAGCCACCTTAAAACTTAACTACGGCTCGGTGTTTCGGAAATGCGGTCCAAAGGTTGGTCCCTTTAGGTATTTTTTTAACGCCCAAATTGATGTTTAATCCAAAACAGATAAGCCAAGTATCGACTTTTAGTTTAGTGTAACGATGATTGGCATTCGGGTCTGGGATAATGCGGAGTAAGGAGAAAGGAAGAGTTCCCCCGAGGTCAGCGGAAAAGGGAGCCGTTTGTTGGCTTCGTACAAACATATGATCTGTCCCTGTTTGAATATCCTAGTGTCACATGGTCTCTCCCATAGTAGTGGATTAGCTATCCCCTTTCCTACTGTCTTTCTACACAGATCTCAACATTCATACAACATTGTCATTCCATGATACTGTCTACTAGCCTGTAGATTCTAACAATATCGTTCACATTGGCGGCTATGCCGAAGAGATGCGTATTCACTTCCTTGTAAGACACGAATACGACTGCGGGATTTTGATTAATATACGCAGTCCCGAGGATGATGAAGCGGTCCGCCTGCACCGGGCCTGAGAAACTCAAGTCCGCATGCCATAGAACGCCGTTTCATGGGGCCGAATGCTCCAGAAAACTCCGACCGATTTCCCGAACGGCACGCATAGTATGAAGACTTTAAAGCAAAGGGAAAAACAATAAAATGAAAGATATCTATGAAAGGTGTATACTTGTAGCTTATATTCTCCACCCATACGAGCTTTATTCAGTCCTCATCGTGTGCCCATAATCACTGGCCTCTTGTAACAACATTTGAAGCTCTGACTCTTACCACGAATATTTGTTGGAGGACAGCTGAAAAATGTACGGACAGGCTCTTAATGCGTAAGCGAGAAATGAGCTGTATTGGCTGGGTATTACTTGACCATACGACATGAAATCCGGCTGTGTATGGAATGTTATAACTTTAGGATCAGTACGAAATCCATCTCTTTATCGTTCGTCTTTTTTAAATCCTCGCACTCAGTGCACCCTCCTATAGACATACTAAATTTCAAACATCCCCTGAAACTATCGAAATTCCCAGCACATGACTTGGTGGACACCATCTAAACAGTGACATCCTCCAACTGTCTAGTGGTTGCAACAGTTTCCACTTCTACTGTCTTTGAGGTGATATTATCATCCAAAGAACCCAGTGCTCTTCCACCAAAGAGGAGGTCAATCTCCTCAAGCGACTTTTGCTTGGTTTCTTTGAACCAGAAAAAGATTGTTGGGATGGTAACGCACACATCTAGATAATCAGTATTATGGCAAGAACAGTCATAGGGGTAACATACTCCATGCTGCAAAAATTAAATAAAACTTCCACCCGATCTTCCCTAGCGCAATGGGTGAAACCTGGCTCCATAGCGTACTAACCGTCCAATTACCAATTCCTGTAGCAAATGCAACGCCCTTACCCCGAATCTGCATCGGCATAACCTCGGACATATATACCCAGGCAATCGAGCCAAAGGACATCGAGAAGAAGACCGTTACAAGGAAGAGGAAGAAAACTCCAGCGATGCTGTATCCGGTCTTTGTCCCATCCTCGTTCTGCGAATTTAGGGCTGCTTCACAGATTAGTGCGATGGTGATTGCAGTGGCACCGAGGAGTAGAGGACGGCGACGGCCGATGCGATCGAGGATGAAAACAATAAAGAGGAAGTTTGCCAGAGGGCCGACGACGTTGTAAATTCCAGTGACAAGGGTAGCTCGGCTCCCGGTAATTCCTAGTGCTTCATACCTGTCATGGGTTAATATTCGGAATTCATCTCCATAGTGGTGAGAGGACTGACATGATATTTTGGTAGTAGTTAATGACGTTGATGCCGGTCATTTGGGAGAAAACCTGCACCAAGGTTCCTTGCCTGGTAAATAAACTTGAGAATCCCGATTTCCAATAGTAAGGCGTGGGGAACTTACAACAGCCGAGTCCGCCACTGCGGTACCTTGAACATGATTGTCCACCCAGAAGCTGTGATAACCCGTTCAGCGTTTATGGTGATTTTAATTTCGCGGAATTCAGTTTGAATCCATTCCATGTTTGCGCCGTCATAGTGCAGGCGCTTAAGGATGCGCAATGCTTCCTCCTCCTGGTCCTGTTCAATGAGATGACGAGGGGACTCGGGGAGCCAAAACATTCCTAAGAACAGCATGAATGCGGGAAGTGCTTGAAATGCGAGTGGGAATCGCCATTGCAATGAGCTGCTGTCAGGGGCATGAAGTGAACCATATCCAATCCACCTGATATGCATAAGTATTGCGGTCCAGATGGAATGAAATAGGAACAAACGTACGTGCTAACGATGAAACCAACCCCAATCATCTGCTGTGAAAGTCCGACAATCCTGCACACGATATGGTTTAGTCTGATATCACTTTTCTGCTTTGGAGGTTCTTACAAGCCACGGGTTTTTGGATGGGCGCATTCGGCCTGGTAAACTGGAACAGACATACTCAGAACACCTACTGCCCAGCCAGCGACAATTCGTCCAACTAGAATCATAATAAGATTCTGAGCTGCAGATTGGAGAATAGCACCAATAGTCGCTAGCAAGGCACCAAGTTGGATTGTTCTTCTACGGCCGAATCGGTCGATAGTCAAGCCCGCCATGAGGGCACCAATGGCCGCTACATTGCTGTCAACTCTTGTCTGATCATGCAATTCCCATAGTAGGAGACAAACCTCCCCCTGAGAATGTGCTGTTGATGGCGCCGATAATTGTGGATGCTTTGGTCGTACTAAAGAAGTTCAAAAAGTGCGGGGAGGCGATCACATCGGTCATGACACCTATAATGTCAGTCCCATAGTCGACTCTTGCGTAGTGAGTTGGTGAAAAATACCAGAATCATAACCGAACAGAAAGCTGCCCGTTGCAGCAAATGTTGCCAATCCTATCGTATAGATTTTACCCATAGTGATTGATCAAAGGTAGAGTAAATTCTACAATTATTTGGAATGAGCTAGGGAATCAAAAATCTTTTAGAGGTTTTACATCCTAGCAAGTGTCGCTATAAAATGGAATAGCCTGACGGAAAAAAAGGATAAAATCAAAAGGACAATAAATTTCAACTTGAATTAGAAGTTCCTGGTGGCGTTTGGTATACTACTGTACAGAGCATGCACAAGGTAAGAACAAAGGACCCGTTGGCATGCGCTGGCTGGTATTTTGATGGTTCGCGTAGACCTCACCATGTTGATTTTTCAGTGCCCATGGAGTTTCTATCAAGAATTAGTGATCATGGATTTAAGGTGTCGATATTAGAGTAATATGTACTGTACGAATCACTATTATCTGATTGATATTTATGAGCAATGTCAATATCCGTACAGACTAGTATGGAGATACCCCCACTAGACGGACCAAGACCACTACGGGACGCCACAACCCTGTATTTTCAGTACTAGTCCTAATTGAATTACAGTACAAAGCCAATGGAAAATGGCCGATGAATATGCTTGTCTCCGATTTCCATAGTAGTAATTTACTTGGCCATGACAGGTCTTAAGCCAGGGGTTGAAATGTAAATCACATTCTGGCGATGTTCGATAGGGTGTATAAGTAGAAATTCTAGATACCGAGGCCGAGAATGAGAAACGTTACTATACTTCAATTCGCCAGCGCCGAAGCAAGCCGGGCAAAATTTAGACAGGGACGGATCACAAGGCCCGGCTCTCCGAGTGCTTTTATCCTGCAATTTAGCCAAAAATTCTGTGGCCTAGTTTTGGAATATGGCGATGCATGTCTCAGATTGCTCTAGTTAATATATCCTGTCAGAGTTATACGGCAGGTTAGCCGGGGAATGAATTCACTGGATGAATTTTGTCTATCATGACAGTTTTGTATGATTTCGTTTGTCTCTACCTCGTTGCCCTTCATCTTGTCTTCTTGTTAGCGCGCTCGACGAACTATTATTCAGGCATGTAAATGTCTTGAATGGATTGTTAGATATTATTGCACACGAGGAATTTAGGGGCATTCACCCCTGGCCTGACTTTGGCCTGATGTTTTTCTTGTCTTTCCCAAACTTGGATCTTTCCTCAAAACCTAGGCTGGGGAAGGAATGGATCGAACGACGCTAGAAGAAGACTAATTCGTGTTTGTGCTGGCAGCAGTGTCGTAGTAAGTAATCGGATTAATTAAAATCAATTTGTACCCTCTCGGCTAGTTAAATATATGCGAAGAGTAAGGGCTTGATGTCTTACCGTGGATCACCCAGGAGAATGTTGCAAGACCAATCACCGAAAAGATCACTATGTCAACTACGAAGGTGTATAACGCCCAGGGCGCACCGGCAGTAATTGGCCACTATTACTCCATGAATGTCTGTGATCTTCGGCATAAAAAAGGGTTGAAAGATACGTTAAAGCGCCAGTAGAGTTAGATGAGTCCTCGATAGTCTAGATATCTAAAAAGTGAGAAATTCCTCTGGATCGAATTTATAAGGGCAATGAGGAATAGTCATTATCTGCCAAAACATGCTAATTATCTAACTAATATAGACAAACAGACAAAAAATATATATAAGATCTAAACCAGGAATGGTGCATCGCTATCTTACATCATGCCATGAAATCAAACCAAATCTATCAAGCTTAAGCACGGCACATCCGCCCCGACTCGGACACAGACCAGGCATCACTGCCGACAGCCTTGAGGGCATAGAAAAACGAGGAAGGATCCCACTTGCGCTTGACAGTGAGAAGGCGGTTGTAGTTGCTTCCGAAGAAGGTCTGCTTCCAGTCCGGCTGGCGGAAATTAGCCTCATTCTGGTAACAGCCACTGTCCGGTGTGACGGCCTCGAGCTGAGGCACGTATTCAGTCGTCATCTTGTGTTGGTCCTCAATCATTTTGGACCAAGGCGCGGTCTCGTTCCACGGTGTGCCAATTTGCATTGTCACGGCTGCGTTGCGCAGGGCTGGGAATACTGCGTTCGAGACGTTGACCGGGGCTGAGACGTTCATTCCGACTCCGACGGCGATCACACCCGCTTGGGTCAGACTGCGCAATGCTGAACCAATCCCGTTGGAGTTCTGCTCTAGGGCCTTGCGGGGAATCAGACGGCCGCCATACTGGTAGGAGCCAACGGCTAGGTTACCCCAAGGAAGAGGGCCCATGTACTTGTTGTAGTGGTCATAGTACGAGTCGTGCTCGGTGAAGCTAGCTGAATACTTGATGTTAAGCTCGGTAAGCTTCGAGGTGAACGGCTCAAGGATGGCTTTGACGTCGTCGATAGTCTGGTTGTAGGCTGTGATGGGGTTGATGATAAAGACGCTTGAGGTCATCTGGTAGATGACAGTTACACCCTGGTCGACCATGGCGGGCAATAGAGAGTGGAACTGCGAAACAGCCTCGTAGAAGGTATCGGTACTGATGTTGGCCGCCGTCATCTGAAGAGAAGCACCGGCAATGGGCGCATCTTTGTGTGCTTTGACAACAATGGACATGACAACGCCGTAGTTGCCGGCACCACCACCGCTCAGTGCCCAGAACAGATCGGCATTCTCGGTGCGTGAGGCCTTGACCAGCTTGCCAGCAGCGGTGACAACCTCGAACTCTAAGGTGTTATCAGCCCCAAGACCGAAATTGGTGCTGAGGGCAGAGTGACCGCCACCTTGGGTGTAACCACCGGCGAGACCGACCGTGGGGCATTCGCCAGTAACGACGACGAGGCCCTTGGCAGATCCGGCCTCGAGGATCTGGTAACCAACCACACCGGCACCGACTTTAAACGCAGGGCCCTGGTAGGTTGGGCTAGACCAGTCCTTGTATTCAATATCATTCAAGTGGTGAGTCCATACAGAGAGGGCACCGGCACCGGTTGAACGACCAAGATAACTACGTCATATCAGCATTGATCTGTAGAAAAACCGTTGAGGCAACTTACTCATGGCCGGTGTTACGGATAACGAAGCGAATGTTGTTATCACGGGCAAAATTGACAGCGGCAATGACCTGATCACTGGAAGAGACGTTCACAGCGTAGTTCACGTAGTTACCAAGGAGGCATGGCTTAGACTTGGCGGTGAACGGGTCGCAACTCTGGTTGGCGAAGTACGTTTGCATCACCGACGAAGAGGAGGCAAGACTGGCGGCGATTAGCGCTGTCAATTTTCCAAGACTAGCAAGACTTACTGAGGCTCCGGGGTATTCCAGCTTGTCTTGAGCGCCGCACAGGCGGCAGCATCGTAGGTGGGTTCATGACAGGGGCTACCAATTGGCACGGTCGCAACCAGACGACCACCAACTGTGCTATTCAGGGAGGCCCAGGCCGATGGGGCAGGCCAGCAGCTATCACTTGGCAAACAGTGACAGTGCGATGCGAGGGCCGGTGCGGCAAGAGCCACGAGGGAAGCCAAAGTCCACTTCATGGTGGAGGAGATGGATGGGATAAGGTTGTGGAAGAATGGAGGCACAGGTGTCGATCACCCTCTTTATTTACAACAGGACTTCACATCCCCTCGATTGAACATGGATAACAACTCGGAGATGTTGCCAAGTGCGTCTAGTTGGATTCACTGTGGATAGGGGGATTTAATCGGGGTGGAACCGAAATAAATTCTTAAGGCAGGTACGGATATGGAGTACGTAGTACGTACTACATATGTTGTACCTACATACCGTTCCTGCAAGCGTGATCTACCACTGCAGTTATGATCTACACTAGCCGGAATCTGATCGCATGGTTATGTTTCTCTTATTATAAGCACAATGGGTTTGTCTCTTTGCATCAACATTATCTTCCAATCTCGGACTACTTTTTTTTACGACGCGGAGGTCCCGGAGGAGCTAAGAAACCTTAAGACTAAGATCCGGGATCCACCTAGACAGTTTCTCAGTGTAACCCGAATGGAATTCACCCAATCGGTGTCTGGTTCAACGCCACCAAGCCCCACCTCAGCGAGCCCTAATGGCTCCACGGCCGAGATCCATGTCCGGAGGTCAGTGCGCCTTTAATATTGTATGTTGTATGCTTTGGTGGCTTTAATCTTGCATCGAACAATTTCCCAGTTCAGGGGTATTTCATAGGCGATGACTGACCTCAATGGTGTGACAAGCTTAGATGTTGTATTTAACATTATAATTGACGCCATGTCAACTACAGTAAGTCTCAGTCACGTTGAAAATCACTGCCGCCCCACAAATATAACTAAATATAACTTATGTTGTAATGACTTACAGCATAGGCAGTTCGAGGAGACCTCAGATGCACAAAATTGAGTTTGGGAACCCTGTAGCCTTGAAACATTGGTTGGAATGCGCTAAACCGACTAAAATGGGAATGATCGTCGAATTTTACACGATCCAAGGTTAAAGAACAACCAATCTGTGGCTGGGCCATGGACCATCCCAAGTTTTTGGCGCACAATGCGAGCTATTGCCCGCTATGAATCTAGCTGACCAAAGTTCAAGAAACCTTAGAATGTTCTATCCGGGGTTGATGACCGACGCTATCCGTGGTTCTGCTGAACTCTTTTTTTCTTCCGGACTTGTTCCCGTTGACTATTCCAACTCTCAAGTCCGCATTCATTTATATGAGGGATCGCCCGGTAGACGATGCTGTCAAGTTAGCTTGTTTATCTCCACACAATGTCACAAACTGATCTTGGCCCAGCCCTGGAGAAGGGGATCTGGGCTGCGGTGGCCATTGCTGCGGTGATCGTTATTCTACGGATCTTCGGCAAAATCAAGATCAATCGGTTTGGCGTCGATGATGGCCTGATGATTTTCGCTGAGGTAGATCTTTCTGGGTAGCTTGTGGATCACTTTCATAGACTGACTTCAATGGTTTCTAGATTCTGGCGATCGTATCAACAGCATTCTTGACCTTGTCGGTGAAGCATGGGTTCGGCAAGAATCTCGACACATTACAACCAAATGACAAGGAAGAAGTCTTGAAGAATATCGCAATCCA